AAAATTTCTTATGATCTGGGTTTTATTGCAATCGGAGTCGCCATGGCAACGTAATGACGCCATTACGTTTTTCATTTATCGTTGTGTTTCTCTGTACCAGGAGTTTTTTTGAAGAAATCGCTTAAGGGAGTATGTACCTGCCATAATTGCCTCCATTATGGCAAAGTTTAAAGAAATTCTATGAGAGCGTTTTCGAAATATTTTGAAATACACTTTTAAGAATCATAAAAACAGTGAAATAGCATGCTAGTCGCTCAATTCGCTAATATATTACGAAAATGATAAGCTTTGGGAACGCGGCTTCATCTCATAGTGGACTGATTCCATTGAAAACTGCATACAAAAAAAGAGGGGAATTGCTCTGGGCGATCGCGAGTAAGAAGGATTTTATTAACTTGCATTCAGCTGCTTTTGATACAGTTTTTGGAGGTAATTTGGTCCATGCCTAAGAATTTCGCATTTTTCCAAAAACCGCTCGATAAATTTTTTTATAAATTCGACAATTCCGAGATCAATCGTCAAGAAATATTCCCTGCAAGTTTTAAGAACATTGAAAACAGGGAAGGCTTTTAAATAGGGCCTCAAATATAGCCAATTTTTCCCCCAGATTTTGTGTTTACAAGTGAGCGTCCTCATTATTCACTGGCATTGTTTTCAAGTTTCATATACACGTGCACATTTAGCAAAAAGATAGAATTTGCATCAAAAAGGACCCTCGGTTAAATCTCCGGGATATGCTAATTACCGGGTAAAGAGGTTAGTGATACATTATAACATCAGAGCAACTCTTTGTGAGAGTTTCTGTGATGTTATAACCCGAGTAAGATAATTAAGTATTGCATCCTACACGATGAGCCGAGACGTTCACCGTTTCGGCTCTCACTGCTATCTGTGACGACAAGCCAATTATCAGCATATACTGGATATTTCTTCGGAAAGTAATCGAGAGTTCTTTTTGATGCAAATTTATATTTTTTGCTGGTTGTGCACGTGCATATGAAACTTGAAAACAATGCCAGTGAATAATGAAGACGCTCACTTGTAAACACAAAATCTGGGGGGAAAATTGGTTATGTTTGAGTCCCTATTTAAAAGCCTTCCCTGTTTTCAATGTTCTTAAAACTTGCAGGGAATATTTCTTGACGATTGGTCTCGGAATTGTCGAATTTATAAAAAAATTTATCGAGCGGTTTTTGGAAAAATGCGAAATTCTTAGGCATGGACCAAATTACCTCCAAAAACTGTATCAAAAGCAGCTGAATGCAAGTTAATAAAATTCTTCTTACTCGCAATCGCCCAGAGCAATTCCCCTCCTTTTTTGTATGCAGTTTTCAGTGGAATCAATGCACTATGAGATGAAGCCGCGTTCCCAAAGCTTATCATTTTCGTAATATATTAGCGAATTGAGCGACTAGCATGCTATTTCACTGTTTTTATGATTCTTAAAAGTGTATTTCAAAATATTTCGAAAACGCTCTCATAGAATTTCTTTAAACTTTGCCACAATGGAGGCAATTATGGCAGGTACATACTCCCTTAAGCGATTTCTTCAAAAAACTCCTGGTACAGAGAAACACAACGATAAATGAAAAACGTAATGGCATCATTACGTTGCCATGGCGACTCCGATTGCAATAAAACCCAGATCTTAAGAAATTTTCATCTTTATGTAATACAGTTGTGGTAACCTTTTTTCGATATCTTTACTCATGCCGACGCAGTTAATGCTCAAACTTGGGAGGTATCAACCCAAAAAAATCCAGTCGAGCCACCTTAAGGTATCTGCACCGGCAAATTTTCAACATTTTATTTTGCCCTCAAAATCTTTCTACAGTAAGTTCAGATGATGTAATATGCATATCTGGTGTTCTTTTTTGAATATACCTTCGCATTTAAGAGAAAATCTACTCAAAAGTTGACTGATTCACCGGAAGGTAAAGAAAATTTTTCATTTCCGTTGCTAAGAAAAAGAACCGCAGTAGCGCAATTTGACTCCTCTTTTCGGTATCAAGTTCTATTGATGCGCTGAACAAAATCTATTCACTGCTTGGATTCATTGACAAACTACAGCGGCTGTACGTCCAACTTGATTTTTCTTGCTTCTGTTAAAGCTGTGATGACTAATATTACTTGCTAGTTGTCAATATTTGTTATGTTCTTGAAATATACTCCGTTTTCCACGGCTTATTATTGTTTTAAATTTACATTACATCGGTGTGTCTTCTCACCTGATATATTCTGACAATTTTGCCGGGAGAGTAAAACGTTTTCTTGGCCCCTAATCCTCTGGTCTGTTTTTCTACCAATTTCTTTCACTTTACAGAAGCAATTCTTTTCATTTTTGAATAAAACTCTTCTTCAATCTTCATACTTCGGCGCGCTTCACTGCATTAGCTGACACTGAGTAACGCATCTTCCGGAAATGCGTCACACCTAGCAACTGGTCACGTATCAAAATCCAAGGGGGCTATAGAGAGGTCATTTGGCATTTTCTTAGGCTTCCACGAGCATTTTACACAGCGGTGATTCAAAATGGCGGGCAAGAAGGTCTGTGATGCTATTATCGAGCAAAAACAGTTGATTTTGAGAAGAAAATAAGCTTTTGTACACTGGAAAAGTGTTAATTACGGCGTGACCGATTTACCTTGACTTACGGGAACCAGTTTTTTGGAGGAATGGATCATTATATCTTCGTGAAATTTGGCAAATACACAAAGAGCATGTTGATGAACAGATCTGTGTTTGACCAAAGAATGAAATTACCATACGGCTGAGTTACTGAAGTCCAAAAAGGGATCAAATTACAAAACAACAAATTGCCCTCTAGAGGGCGTATTTCTCGGAGCTGTGTCTTGGTCAAACACAGGATTGTTGCTTTTTATGTCCCTGTTTGTGCTGCATTTCATTTTTCCCACAAACTGTTGTGGTTTTTGTGAAATTTGAATTCTTTTCTTTCCATGCCACCCCCAGGGGGTAATTAAAATAACACCTTTAGAGTGATGTAGCCTTACAATTTTTTCACTAGTTTTGTTCCTTATGGACCAAAAAGCAATGTTGTTGTCTAACATGTAGATAATACTCTTAAATTGGATGTCAGTGTATCACCTAAAATGGGCAGAATTTGCCGGTGCAGATACCTTAAGATCTGCAGGAGAATCTCATGCAATCATTTCTCTGAAAATTGTAGTATTTTAAAAGCTGTTTTAAGTGGATTGCTATGGCTCTAAAATTAGAGAACGAAGTTTTTTTCAGTTCTAATAATGTATTGTAAAACGGTACCGTTGGCGGCTGACCTCGTTCTGTACGAGTGTATCAGTCCGTGATATTATTTAAATTTTGACAACACACAAGGTGCATATTGATTCAACACATAGGTGACATAGGAAACTCAGTACCTGGTGGTTTTTTTGATGAAAGGAAATATAGCGCGACCTTTTTCTCCTCGGTAAAAAAATACTTTAACAGAAGCGCTTTTTTGGAGAATAAGAGGTTTGTCTAATTGTGAAGCACGTTTTGAGGCCTGTTGCCAAGAGCCGGCTCAGGTTATAATTTTAAAGATAAGGATAACTCAAGCCCGATTCAAACGTCGAATTTCACATGTGCCGAACTTAACACGAGAGTTAAATGCATGTGAAGTGCGACGTTTGAATCAATCAAATGCGATTGTTTAAATTAAATGCGACGTTTGCCGTATCTGCGACTGAAACAGTCGAAGATTCGACTTAGGTTCCATTTTTGATTCAAACGTCGCATTTCACATGTACCAAACTTAATGCATGAATTTTAGTAGCTTGGTGAATTTTACTTTTTTTCGGTTCATTTCCCTATTTTAAGCAGTAAGGATGATATTTCTTTTTGCCACGAATTAGGTTCGGCGCATGTAAAGTTCGACCGTCTGAATCAACAGTCGAACTTTGAATCAAATGCCGTATTTAACTATTTTAGTCGACTAAAATAGGAATATAAAATTAAGTTCTGCACATGTGAAATTCGACGTTTCAACAGGGCCTCAGATATTGGTTGACTAAAGATTGATCTGGATTACAAAAAATAATGTCAATTAAAGTGGCTGAGTTGTGTACTCAGCTGCTTGGCTTGTCAAAGGTAGGAGTCCTGAAGATGACAGCTTTTTTTAGAGACAGAAGGAGCTCGTGGCTAGCCTGTGTAGCGCTAGCGTTTCCGTGTGGACCCGTGTGCCTTCGGAGCAAAGAACGAGGAATTTACGAGAGTCAAAGACCGCGCGAAAAATAGGGCGAGTAATTACTTCGAAACCACACAGAAACGCTTGCCACGCAGACTACTCGTGATTGAACGGAGACTTTTCCGTGAATATCAAAATCACCCATTTCTAGGAACCTGGCTTAGGTTTTGGTTACAATTTGCTCGCAACTGTCATCAAGATAATTTTGAAAACTTTGGGAAGTTGTGTTGCCTGTGTAGACTCTACAAATTAGATATGTACATTTGTTTGACGGACCAAGACGGTTATCTTCTATCCACACTGCTTGGAATGCTTCACTATCATTCACTATCGTCTCAAGTTAGTTTACTCCTCGACTATTGTTTTCCTTCTTTGTTTTCAGTGACTGAATGGTTTAAGCAGCTCGAAAATTTTGTGCTTGATTTCTGAAGCATCTTCACGCGGCTTTACGCGTCTTCTGTTTGAACAATAGGTTCAAACAAAACACTGCTCCCAATAAGACTTTTGTGGATGGGCTCCTTTGTTCTTTCTTTGTTTCTTTTTTTGCTTTGTAGCGTATTATTCATATCGTGTTGTGCTATTAGGACAACCGCCCTAATGAATAACACCAATTATTACTAACGAAGCCCTGTTGACATTGTGATTAAATTGCAAATTTAATAGATAAGCAGCATTCTGGAACAGTCTTGCAGACCATTTGTATTTGATTGGCTAAGTTTGTTCGTCAAAACACTTGATTATTATCCGGTCACGCTAGAATGAAGAATTTTTATTAATATTGAGGTATTCATGTATTTTAATAAGGACCTTTACACTTGTTAACGACTGGATCTCACAAGCGGTTGGGGCGTGTTGTGGAAAAGTGTTGATTCACTCATCTAACAAGGTCGGTTGGATTAGTTGTAGAAATTTAGATGAATGTTTGTAGCAATAATTGTTTTTGCGATCCTTATATCACTGTCCACTTCGTTGCAGGTTCTTTTAAATTTAGCCCAACCCGTTGGACGCAGGGTGGGTTCTTTGAACGAATTACTCTCACTGTCACCATATCTCGATCATGCCTCCAAATTAAAGTCTTGAGCACCCATGTACGTAAAGACATAAGGAACCCTTTTTTTAAGTCACATTTCTTGTTGTTTGGACGAGACTATCCAATTCATACTCAGTCCTACTCAGACTACCTTATCAGTAGAGTTAGAGTAGGTCTTGCCTCAGTGATGGATGCGAGGAATGCTCGTAGCGTCGTTAATCACTCGGGAAAGAGCATAAAAGAAGGGGTCAATAAACCTGAATCGGAGAAGAGGGGTTGATCCGACCAGACCCGATCATGTCTAAAAACAAGCGAGAATTTGTTTGAGATGTAGAGCACATATTGCATAACTGGTCTTATTCCAGCCATTAGATAGGATTCATAACAAGGCGTTATGCAATCCGAAATTGACGCCCTAGTATGCTGATTATAATTCAATATTATCGAATGCAAATTGCCCAATAAGATTTTTTAGCGATGTGAATGTTACTATGGGGAAATTAGTTGGCCTGCACCATGCGAAAACGATTAAATTTGCTTAAGAGATGGACGAAAAGTCTCTGGCACCCAGTTGCTAAAATGTGAAAGAGATTTATCTTGTGTGATCATGTCCTTGTTTCTCTTGACCATTCTGTTTTATGAAGCATTGTTATTTTATGGCTCGCGGGCAAAATGACGCGAATCCTGCGTTCTGATTGGCGACCAAACTTTGCCAATATAAACCTATCTTGCCGGCTCGTGATTTCCTGTTTTATCCCACAAGAAAACTTATTTTTCTTACGATATAATAAATCCTTACTGACCAAGCTTGTTTGGTAAAATGACTGGATGTTGGCCTCCTCTTTTTTCCCGTTTTTGTGGACCTCTACCTCGTTCCGGTCCATCAAACCGTGAAGGAACTATGGCTTGGCCAATATCCCGGCCACTTGGCCTCACGCTTGGTCAATAACGCGTACCGGTATATATCACATGTTGATTTAGAACAGGTTTCTTAATCTGTAACTGTTATCAAGAGGCGGCGGTATCACGGATAGTGAAACATTCCGTATACCTTATTAAAGGAAATTAACGCCTCATGAAATTAACGCGAATTTCCAAAATTTTGCGTTAATTTCCGTGCCTTTAATTTCCATGACCTTAATTTCCATGATTTTGACTCCAATTTTTTAATAGCTTTTGACATTCTTGACACCCTAAGAAAGGGGAGTATTTTTATCAGGGTGGAGAGAGAAACCGGTAAAACTTGATGTGCCTGATTTCTTCCCTTAAACCTTTCGTACCTTTAAGGAAAGAGCCAAGAACAAAGTAGCCATTTCGGATTTCAAGTTTAAGTCTAATCAGGCTATTGTTTCAACAAGTTTTGTTTCTTTGTAAACGTCGCGTTAATTTCCTTCGTTTTGAAATGTTACCCTCACTTTCGCGTTAATTTCCTCTATTCGAAAATCGTTTTCCACTTAATTTGCGTTAATTTAAGTCGCGTTAATTTCCAATACCTTAATTTCTGTGAACGTTAATTTCCTAAGGCACATTCCAGTTATTGATTAAGGAGGCGATGTTTGTAAAGTAGGAGACACATATTCTAAATTAACAGGTGAAACATGTAAACCTGTCACTTTCTATGTAGCTTAGTTTTTATTTATGCTGTTTCTTTTTCTCTGCTCATTGTTCTTCTGTCACATTTAGCTTTCATTGAAATCGTTGTAATTAGCATATTCAAATTGTAACTACTTGTACAACTTAGGGTGGCTCGATACAGTTTTCAGGGTCAATACCTCCCAAGTTTGAGCATAAACTAGGTCGCATAAAATCTGGGAAGAAATGCCACCACAATTGTACTAGATAAAGATGAAAATTTGTTACGATCAGGGTTGTGATGACATCGGAGTTGTCATAACAACGACATGACGCCATTACCTATTTTACTTCCAGCAGTATTTCTCGGCACTGGGAACTGTTCTTCTAAAATCGGGAGCTTTTTCCTCCAATAGCCGCCTCGATGTTTGTGAAGTTTAAGCGAAATCTGTAAGAGTGTTAACAAGATATTTTGGGATGAATGTTAATGGTTAGAAATACGGTAAAAAATGGATAGTCTTGATGAAACCTTGCAGGACGCTGGGTGCATTCTTTGAACGCATTACTCTCAATTTCGCCATGTCTGGATAATCCAAATCAAAGTCTTGAGCGCACAAGTACGTGACTAAGTAGCATGACTGTCAGCCATTAAGAACCTTTTTTTTTGTTCAGTCACATTACATATTATTTGGACCAGCCCAGCCCATGCTCTCCTTACTCCTCTCAGTTCAGACTACCTTATCAGTATCAGTATCTGACTCAGTGACGGATGCGAGGGATGCAAGTAGCGTCATTAATCAGTCGGTGAAGTACATAAAAGACCATATACGTAGGTGTCAGTAAAACCTGGATAGAAGTTGAGGGGTTGACCGGCCCGATCATATCCGAAAACAAGCGAGAATTTGTCTCAAATGCCGAACATATATTACATAATCGGTTTTAGTAAAATCCAGCTAGTGATCTATTATCAATGCTGCGTTCTCATTGGTTGAGCTACTACTAGGCTATATGTTATAGCCCACTAGTAGCGAAAAGCGCGGGCTTTTTGGCGGCAAAAAAGGATTAAAGTCTAGCTTTCTCTAGCTAACTTTTTTTTATTCTCGATATTTTTGACCAACTAGTTGGATTTTACTAAAACAATTATTCCTCTGGCCCTCATGGCCTCTGAGTTAATAGCCCATTCGGGTTCGAGGAATAATTGTTAAATATTCCAGCCATTAGATAGGATTCATAACAAGGTGTTATGCAATCGGAAATTGATGTCTCAGTTTGCTGATTACAATTCAATATTATCGGATGCAAATTGCCAATAAGATTTTTTTAGCGATGTGAATGTTACTATGGGGATATTAGGTGGCTTCACCACGTGACAACAAAGAATAGCTTTGAATTCGTTTTCTGATTACATGGCACAATTAAACATGAAAAAAAAGTCTGGGTCGCCATCAATAAATCTGATGGCATAGAATCGAATAGTTAATATTCGAAACAACACATTGATCTTGCTGCATTGAAATCCTAGTAAACGGACTATAAGGGTTTTTGTTTGATTAGGACATTTTTGTTCCTTTTCGAAATTTTTTGCAAGTTTACCAGTGGCCTGTGTACAGAGAATTTTTGTTTAATTTGAGGGAGGATGGCGGCTAGTTTACAAGTCTCTGATGAGTCCTTATTGAAATGAGTTTAGCCTGCGTACCATGGCGGCTCGTTGTCGGGAGCCCGCCTTTATTTTTTTTTGCGCGCCCAACCAAAACCGCCATGGGTACGCAGGCTAAATGAGTATGGCCTAAGCTCTCTGGGGGTAGGAAACTTCTTATTCTTCAAAAGTTGGCTCCTTCATTATTTCTCTTTTTACAGCAAGTAGAAAAGATCGCGTTGTTTCTCTCTTCTTCAAAAACCAGATTTTACCTTCGTTAGGTTTCCTATATATACATATACACGCGTACGGCGGCTCGAGGTGACTTCCGGCTAACTTTTACACTGGAGCGGCATTCAAGATTAGAAATACAAATTAAAATCTTCCTCCTCTAATTTTGGAGCCAAACTTGGAAAGCCATACCATCCCACTTTAAACAACTTGAATAATGCAATTTCAAATCGTTTGCATGAGATCATGATTCTCATGGAGATCTCAAAGTCGACCCATCATATCTTGAACTACTGTTCAGCGACTGAACACCTGTAAGTAATACTTCGTTTCTTTTTTATCTTTATTTCCTCAATATACCGTAAAATTCCGAAATGAAGCCCTGGGGCTTATATTTTTCAAAGGCCCCTTTTGAGGGGCTTATTTTTGGAGGGGCTTATCTACGGAGGGAAATTTGCGTTTCAAAATCGATTGGGCTAGCCTTATAGTTGGAATTAAATTTACCATCTTTGCTTTGTTTTACTTGGTATTTGAGGGCAATTTTCCAAGTGGAAGCCCCCAGGGGGCTTTTATTTGGACGGGCGATTTAACGGAGGGTTTTTTGCGTTACCGGTTTGGGGGGCTTATATTTGGAGGGGCTTATACATGGAGGGGCTTCTTTTCGGAATTTTACGGGTATATAACTGAATATTTTACATATATTTATGAATATTTTGACAGTGAATCGATTATCCATAATCATTGGTGGTTTGTTAAATAATTTGGCTAACACGCAAGTCTTTCTTTCCTTTGTCTGTTTTTCCCTCACTACCCGCCTAGATAAGCTTTGACTACAAGCCATTTGCGCGTAGCAAATTACGGAATTTAAGTAAACTTAAGAGATACAAATAAAGTCGTTGAGTCAAACCTCTATAAAGAAGTCACCCCCTCGAGAAATACCCAGCATGCCGGTTTTAGAGGTTGACTGCTTGATAGAGTTCACTGACACAGTCAAATCATTACAGTGTGAACCTCTCGCAAACGACTACCTCGCTTAAGCGAACGCCACCACTTTTTGGAGCGACGGATTTCAGAATTTGCCTTTGTTTTAACCTCTTGTAAGCGACTAATTGACGCATGGCTTGTGAATCTCTCTACTACTATACTTAGAGCACAAGAATAATGATGATGATGATGATGATGATGATGATGATGATGATGATACCTTTATTTTAGTGTCACACTGTAGTAGTAGTGTAGAACCACTAAGATGGAACACTAAAATAAATTAAAAAGAATAAATAAATAACTAAATTAAAGATGAAAACCAGAATGTTAAGAAATATAAGAAATCAAGAAAAACTATAGACAGTAAGAAATTCGGGACAGAACTATATACAATATGTACAAATGTATCATAATCATATTAAATTAAGAACTGCAAAGAGAGCAGTTTGAGCAATTATTGTCTCCTAATAGCATACTAAGATCCACTTTTCTGATGTGACAACATGGAAGTACACATATCGTAGCATACAAATTCCATGCATTAAATTCACTTCAAAGAAGTACATGCCTTCAGACCTCTTCCCGGAAAAGACCCCCTGTGTTTCGATTATCGTGCGCGATCGCCTCCCATAAACAACCACCAGGAGCCATAATCGAGGGAGGAGACCGCAAGCGAGGGGTCCACTTCGTTCCATTGCGCCACCCTCAACGTCACAAACTCGCGCGGGAACCCGCAAATTTGCGCGGCTCTTGTGTGGAATTTCAGGAACTGGGCGATCGTCTTGCGACTTCAATTGAGTCCTCTCTTAATTTTCCAAGTGCTTACTATCTCATAAACAAGGCATGCGCAGTGAAAGAATGAGCCAATATTATATAAACAATACTTGAAATACGTTTTTCGCAAAAACCTCGAGAAGGCGGGGCACCCAACGACGTTTTCCTCCTAAATACATTGAAAATACTCTCAAGGCTGTCTTTTAAGACTATTAGAGGAGGTTTCGCTGGATTCAGGACGAAACCGGAACATTTTTGTACTGGCTTCGTTTTACCGTTTTAGACGTAGATGCGTGTATCCGAAATAAAAACGTCACCTTTGGTCGCGTGTTCGGAGATTTTAAATCCGGAGACTTAAGTGAATATTTTGTATCCGATGATGAATGATCTCGTATTAACTGATGTATATAACTCCTGCCAATACGAATACACTGAATGTAATTAATACGGAAACATTTATGAATCTCCTGTAATGTAAAGTCTTATTTCCAGTGACCACCTGACTGGCCTAACTTATATCCGATCCTTTTCTTACAGGCATCAAACCATCACCATGTCTCAAGCCAAAAAGACGACTGCGAATTTTGATGAAATTTTAACTTCCATCAGCGCGTTTGGTCGTTGGCAAGTATTCCTTTATGTTGTTACCTGTTCTCTGGTGATTATCCCTTCCACCTTGCAAGTCATTGGGATTGTGTTCTTTTCTGGAACGCCAAGATTTCATTGCGTGACACCTAACGTGACATGTGAGGACAGCAAATGTTGTCCTAATTGCACTGAATACGTCTTTGATGGTCCTTTTACCAGCAGTGTCAGTGAGGTGAGAGACGTTTTCGTAATAAAAATTCAATGATGCTTGATACATGTGTGCTGATGATTAATACCCTTGTTTATGATTTATCGTTAAGCGAAAGTACATTCAATAAGGATGCAGTGGGGAATGAAGATACAGAATTATTGACCTAGATTCCCCTCGGTTTTTTTAATTAAATTTTCAACTGCCTCCTTCACAGGCTTCCCAAGGTTTAGTTGACGCGCGAGAGCGTGAAACAAGCGAGGTGTGAGAGAGGGGAACGATGGGAACGAGTGTAGAGCGCAAGCAGGGAATGATGGGAAGGAAAAAGAGAGAAACAAATGCTCGTGTCAGTGGTTAGTTTCCCTTCCCATCTCTCCTTTTGCCCCCGCATTCCTTAATGATTATCCCCAAAAAAGTGATCGTGTGCGACTGGGGACGAGGGAGAATTTTCAAAGCTCCCCCCATCAGTGTGGCTGGAATTTCATAGTCCCCCTTCCACCCTATGGAGCGTTAATAATTGCCTTAATAACACGATGGCCACCACAATTATTGAATTCCAGATAATCACATTATGCGTGTACCTTGAACTGGACTAAAAATCAGTTTCTAATCAAGTGCGGTTGTTTCCTGTTAACAGTGGAATCTTATTTGTGACCGAGCCTTTGCTGGGGCTAATGTGCAGGCGGCCTATTCAGCGGGAATGCTTGTCGGATCGCTGGTGTTTGGAGCAACTTCCGATTTCTTCGGACGAAGATTTTGTATGTACCTATGTGCTGTGTTTCTGGTATGTTGAGAAGAAAAAAAAAACAAACAAAAGAAGAAGGGGCATATTTAAGGGGTATTTCGGAGGGGGGTGGGGGAGGTGATAATTTTCCTAACGTAACAACTTGAAAATAAATCCTATATCCTCCCCGGGATAATCTTTTTGGCCCAGTAGATAGAGACGGGGTTAGACAAGGTGGTTTCTCTATCAAGATCGAAGCTAATTATCAGAATACTCTCCTTTATACATTTGGCTGCAGGCCCTTCTTCAATTTGAAAGGACTTTGAAATAAGCTCTCCTTAAGTATTACTTAATTTTAGCACTTCAGGTTTCCGGAAGTTAGTTGCACGCGCAATTTTCTATTAACAAAAAAATCCCGGATAGCCTTACAGTTACAGGTGGAAACGAGGCTGGCGTTTTCTTTGTTTTGATACAACCATTTCTAATCTATTATGTAAATCATGTTTTCCTTATGTTAACTAGTATTTTTAGGCAAAATTTACATTTCAAAAAGGAGGCGGTTTGTATCAAAACAAGCTCAACCTTAGCCTCACGTTCACTCAAAGGCTAGGACACTAAGCCCACAACTGTAAAATGGGCCATTGATGAAATTAGCTGCTGCATGTGATTTCAATTGCTACTTTTATATTTTTTATTTTGGGTCCCCAGTAATTGGTTTTACCTGTTGCGGTGTCCCTATCCAAATTATTTAACTTATTATTAGTGTATTGTTACGTTCTTATTACTAGTATTTGCATATATTCAGTTTTTTGTATTCGTCAGGGCAAAGCTAATAAAATAAATAAGAAAATAAATAAATTATGGCGCGCGCATGCACAAAATCTGACACTAAGAGACCCGTTAACTTGGTTTGCTTTTCTATGCATTTTATTTTGGAATTTTCAGGCCATTTTCGGTCTTGGATCAGCACTCGTCGACTGCCTGTCATTCTTCGCCTTTCTCCGTTTCTTCGCATCTGCCTTCGCCGTCGGATTGTTCGTGGCTCATTACATATTTGCTCTTGAACTTTTTGGCCCCACCTACAGGACCCGAGCTGACAAATTACAGACCCCGTTTTGGACTATTGGCGCTGGCCTGATTGCATTACTTGGCTACCTTATTCCGGATTGGAGGACTTTATTGATACTTTGCAGCTTCCCGCCCCTTCTTCTCTTCTCGATTTATAAGTAAGCTGTCTGACATGTACAAATATAAATACACTTATCTATAGCGAGGCGCTCTTAGGGGTCGTATGTTTGTCTTTAGTCTGAATTTCAAAACCAGCTGGGGGGTTTCCCTGAGGAAGCCATGTCCCGTGCGGTATTTTATTATTGTTTTTGCGATTGACCTCGTTGCTGTCACAGTTTCAACCTATTTCTTATGTCGCTCTTTCAAGGCCATTTCACTTGTCGGAATTTTATAAAAAAAGGTCAAGCTGTAAAATATGGTAAACATCTCGAGAGAAACTAACCACTAACATGAGCAAATGTCTCCCTCTCTCAGTCTCTCTCTTTTAAACATGGTCCTCTTTAAACTTTTAAATAGGTCTAGTGGATTTGTATGATTCTGAGGGACAAACCATAAATAACTTTTACTCCTAACAGTATCCATAGCCTGAAGTGCGTACAATTACACAGTTGGTTTCAGTGCTCCAATAAGTCCATATTAGTCGCACGCAAAATATTTTAGGAGTCACCCACGATCCGTGAGCACGCACAGAAACTTAGTCGAGCCTTCACTAGCGGCCACCTTTTTTGTCCCGGTGGACAAATAATCCATACATTGACTCTTGCTTAAACCACAACGGTCACTTCTTTAAAACGGCCACTTTTTTCCGTGCCCACGATGGCTGTTGTGGAGAGGTTCACTTAACCCTTTAAGCCCTAAGACTCAGTGATCAACATCAAATTCTCCTTGTGATATCGATGCTTTGTAAAACAGAGTGGTCATGAGAATTACTGACATGATCACACAAGATGATATTACTTGATATTTTTATCAACTTCTCCTCACTACTTCTACGGGAAATGAATAGAGACAACAAATGAGATTTCAAGTTGTTATCTTAGGATTTAAAGGGTTAAGGAAAGTAACGCAATAGAAATGTAATCTGTACGAACTAAGTGAACACGTCAACTAAACATAACAGAGGAGCATCGCTTCCAACTAAAGAGAAGTAGTGTGTGACTGATGGTATCAAGATGATATAAACCACACATATCAACAAAGGATAAGATGAGTTTTTTTGCTTCGACTGCTGATCTTAACTTCCGTATTATAGCGTTTATATATTTATGAATAATTCCACCATGACATTTACTTAACGTGTTTAAAAGAGGAGACACGCATGGATTGAAGCCTCGCTCTTTAAGTCAGGATAAAATGTGACCGAGTCTTTCTATTTAGTCTAACTCATTATAATGGTTTGCCCTATTATGAATTAGACGTGATTAGCCCTCTTTGGTAGCAGAGTATATAAACTTCTTCCAGTTATGAAATCGTACCCGGAATGAGCGAAGGCAATCCAGTCTTCCTTTCCACAGTACCTTTATTTCAATCAGATTTAGGATATAGCAAGGTCAAATTTTCGAGTAACTTGTAATTGGCCTATGTAATATACGGTCAAAATATCGTTATTACTCTCTTACTATAAGTACTATAAACAACTGGATATCTTCCACAGGGTCTTTCCTGAATCTGCACGATGGTTAGCTGCTAAAGGTCATCTGGTTCAGGCGCATGCAGTTTTGATGAAGTACGCTAGCAAGAGTTCGTTGTCCGTGGACTCAGATTCCATAATGACAAAACTTACAGAATATCACCAGAGTGAGGTGGAATCCAAAGCTGACAGCTCCAGTAGGAGGTCATTCTTGGATCTGATTCGGAGTCCGCGCTTGCGCAAACGAACCGTCATTCTATGCTTTAACTGGTAAGTTCAAAATTGCATAGTGTCTCTGATATATCTTGAATCCGATTAAGTGATGATTCCAATGCGGTTCTCTAATCAATAGGGACTTTAAGAATGGACTGAGAATGCGAGATTGAGACATTGAGTACGAGTATAAGTACCATTTTTCAAAGCAGATTCGCGTGACTCACATAATAGCTCATCACACACCAATCTTATCCGTTTTATTATATGCTAATCAGCAACAGTAGAAAGTTATAGTTAGGGCAATTCATATGCAATCAGTTTGAAGTTCGCTATTGCTTTGTGCACTATTAGGGAAACAAGATATTCATATTCTATAAAAACAGAAGTTGTTGTAAGTAATACGTGTTTGTCTGCATTTCACATAGGATGGTTATCAGCATGGTTTATTATGGTTTCTTGCTGTACATAAGCCGCTTGTCTGGCAGTCCCTACTTGAACTTGTTCCTGATGTACCTCTCGGACATTCCAACCCATCTCATCTGCTGGGTTCTTCTTCAAAAGTAAGTTGCTTAATCGCGAAAATAAGTGCGTAAGTCACGAAACTGTTTACATGGCAACCTATCTGCTTTCTCGTTCTCTGATCGATCATTCGATCGATCATTCATTCATCGATCAAAAATTCGCCTATTTATTTAAAGTTTCTCAGCGTTTTCTTTCGTTTATATTCACTTTTTTAATTTTCCCTTTAACTACTTGTTTTCTTCCTTGATTTCTCGCTTCCTTGGTCACTTCTTTTCTGTGACCCTTACTCTCCCTTCCTTTTTAATTCTTTCATTTGTTTTCTCCTTTTCCATTATATATGTCGTTCATTTGTTTTCTCTTTTGCTCACTTCTTTCTTTCTTTTCTTCGAATGATATTTTTTTATCTCTTGATTCATTCATCCTTCAACTATCCATCTCTCGCTAGTTAAAAAATTCTTACATCCTTTCATCGTTTAACAGTAAATAATGCAATGATTGTTCCTCAAAAGCCCCTTTCGTGAGGTAGGCAGGTAATACTTTTTTGAAAAAAGATTCAAATTACAGGAGAAACACGCTCAGTAGCCCCAACAAAACTCGGCTGGTTTCCATGGAGGCTGTGTTGAGACATAAAAATCGTATATTAAATTAATAAGCTATTACTAAAATTTCTTATACTACTACTACTATTGCTATTAAAAGGTTAACTACTATTAAGATACACAGCTTGGCAAGACCCAACTATAATCTAATAAGTTTCTAAAGTGAGGAGAATGACTCGGCGAGTTTTTCTTCATTCGAGAGCTCGTTCCAAAGCATAGCCCCGCTAAAATTAGATCCAGCAACCTACCGATCCAGCGATCCAGCGATATACAGAGACCTACAGATCCAGCGATCTATAGATCCAGCGATTTATCGATCCAGCGCTCTACAGATCCAGCGATCTACAGATCCAGCGATTTACCGATCCAGTGATCTATAGATCCATCGATCTACCGATCCAGCCATCTACCAATCCAGCGATTTACAGATCCAGCGATCTATAGATCCATCGATCTACCGATCCAGCGATCTAACCATCCAGGAATCTACCGATCCAGCGATCTACAGATCCAGCGATCTACAGATCCAGCGATCTATAGGTCCAGCGATTTATCAATCCAGCGATCTACAGACCCATTAATCTGCAGATCCAGTAATCTACCGATCCATCTATCTACAGACCCAGCGATCTACAGCTCCATCGATTTACAGATCCAGCGATCTACCGATCCATCGATCTACAGATCCAGCGATCTACCGATCCAGCGATCTACAGATCCAGCGATCTACCGATCCAGCTACGTATACATCCATCGATCTACCGATCCCGCGATATAGAGATCCATCGATCTACAGATCCAGCGATTTACCGATCCAACGATCTACAGATCGAGTGATCTACCGATCCAGCGATCTAGAAATCCAGCGATTTACAGATCGAGCGATCTACAGATCCAGCGATCTACCGATCCAGCGATCTATAGATCCATCGATCTACCGATCCAGCGATCTACAGGTCCAGAGATCTACCGATCCAGCGATCTATAGATCCATGGAACTACCGATCCAGCGATCTACAGATCCAGCGATCTACCGATCCAGGAATCTACCGATCTAGCGATCTACAGATCTAGGGATCTACCGATAAAGCGATCTACCGATCCAGCGATCTACAGATCCAGCGATCTCCCGATCCAGCTATCTATACATCCAGCGATCTACCGATCCAGCAATCTATAGATCCATCGTTCTACAGATCCAGCGATCTACCGATCCAGCGATCTAAAGGTGCAGCAATCTACAGATCCAGCGATTTACCGATCCAGCGATCTACAGATCCAGCGATCTACCGATCCAACGATCTACCGATTCAGGAATCTACTGATCCAGCGATCTACAGCTCCAGCGATCTATAGATCCATGGATATACCGATCTAGCGATCTACAGATCCAGCGATCTACCGATCCAGCGATCTACCGATTCAGGAATCTACCGATCCAGCGATCTACAGATCCAACGATCTACCGATCCAGCTATCTATAGATCCAGCGATCTACCGATCCAGCGATCTATAGATCCATTGATGTACAGATCCAGCGATCTATCGATCCAGCTATCTATACATCCATCGATCTACCGATCCAGCGTTCTATAGATCTATCGATCTACCGATCCAGCGATTTACGGATCCAGCGATCTACAGATCCAGCGATCTATAGATCCATCGATCTACCGATCCAGCAATCTACAGGTCCAGAGATCTACCGATCCAGCGATCTACCGATCCAGCTATCTATAGATCAAGCGATCTACAGATCCAACGATCTACCGATCCAGTTATCTATAGATCCATCGATCTACCGTTCCAGCGATCTATAGATCCATTAATCTACAGATCCAGCGATCTACCAATCCAAGTGTAATCCGAGTGTAATAGGTTACTAGATTAGAAGTCATCTCATATTAGTAGGTTAAGTAACGAGAATTTCAAAATATAATTTAAGGGGCGGGTATCACTTGGATACCCACATGTCCCCGAGTGTAATAGGTTACTAGATTGTAAATAATAAAAATGGTAGAATATATATAGAGAGAGTCAATATATATATAAAGACGTTCCCAGCAATCTCCTCTTACCATGACGATATTGCTGTGTTATCATTTGAGTTTTTAGCGGAGCTCCTTGCGCGCGCGAAGCGCGCGCGAGCGGAGCACCATGACTAAGATAAACTACCCATCCGAGAAATTTTGGTTATGACGTCAGCGTACGTCCGTCCGTACGGACTTTCCGGGTAGTGGAAAGTAGTCCGCATGGACTCTTGGAGTAGGGGAAAGTAGAGATTTTTTGGCGGGAAATCGCATGGCGCAACGTCGCGCAATTATATCGCGCAACTGGTTTTGAAAAAAGAAATTTCAAAGCAACTTAGCAAAAAGATTTTTCGACAGAGCCTTTATAACTTTTTATTACAACTTACGAAAGCTATTATGTCAACAAACAACAACAGCAGAGAGATTTTAGCGTGTAGATGACAGGTTTTAAGCAGAGAGCAAAGAGAAGGTGAACGGCAGAGAGCAAGAGTCAACACGCATAGAACAAGCGAAGACGATCGCCAAAGAGAGCGCGTTAGAAGTAGAAGAAGAAGACAACATTTTAGCGAAGAAAGTCGGCAAGTAGAGAGAGTCAGAGCGAGAAGAAGGAGAGAAAATTATAGTGAAAAACGCCGGCAAGCAGAACGAGACAGGGCAAGAATGAACAGACAAAGGCAACGCGAAAGAGAAATACAAATGCAAAGAGAACGGCAGCAACATAATGACATGATGACAGAAAGTGTTGTGTTAATGTCACTATGGCCCCGTGTTATTAAAATTTTGATTTCAAACTGATCTCGGACGCGAAAATTCAGCCAATCATTTAAAAATACAAGCAGGGAAGACAGAGGCTTTTCACTTTTCTCACCATAGTCACGCGTTGATCACGCTCTACGACCGTCCAATTTTTATGCTCTGATTGGTCAAAATTTGACAGGTGGAGTTCATGCAGAAAATTTATACAGCATCTTGAACCTTGTTTACTTTGATAGCTGAAGCTGACAGAGTATTTTGTCAACTTGTGATGTTTTTTACTGTCTTTTCCCACTGGATGCTTAAAATGAAATACAGCTGCTATCAACAGTCTTCTTTGATTCATGGCTGGTTTGTTTACTGAATTTTTGGTTGGGAAATGCGCCGGTTGTCAAAGTTGGAAATCCGATTTCGGATGCATCGCTTTCGTTTTTACCTTGCTGGATGCGGGGTTGAAAAGTCCCTCAAGCGATTCTGGCCTTACTTTATAGCTTTCAAGAGCTGCATCTCGAATGGTAAGCCTGAGTAATTATTGTATACGGTGTATGTTTGTTTTTTTATATCTAATTTCATGAAGTCGAGCGCAGTTTATGAGGCTAATTTATGCACGTTTGTATTAAGATCTGAGACAATGATCTGATCTAGTATATATAAGCTTACAGAGCTTTAAAAAGCCTTTAGTCGATATTTTCTCTCCGCATATAAAATGAAAAAACGTTCCGAAGAGTATTTAGTTATAAAATAATTTTGGCTGTAGAAAGAAAGCTTTGAGCGATTTTCTTGCCTTGAGTTCACCTCTGAAAACAGTAAACACCAGGAAGCCGGCTAAAAACTTTAGGCTTATTAAGCGTAAAGACTTAGGATTTTTAGAGACGCTTTAATACCTTTCTTCGTGAATGAAAATTGATGTCTCTGTAAATTTTTCACTGAATTACATTTCTTTTATTGATTGTTAGTAGTATCTTGCAATTTTAATCGCTTTGCTGTTTGTTTTCAGTCGTTCATAGACAACGCTTGCAGGAGTACTCAAAATGCCGCGCGTTTGCACATCGTTATAAAACCATTAAGTAAAAAAAATAAACAATAAATTCTTTATTATGTTGAAGCGTAACTCTTTCAATGTTCACTGAAAATTTGGCGCTTGTCAAAAGTGACAACCGGCTGGCCGTATAGGTGATTTTGGAAATTTTTTGAACGGTTTTGCTAAAAGCCCACGCGTACTTCGTACGGTTCTGAATATTGAATGAGTGCAATTTGTCTTGAAAAATTGTGAAATACTGCATTTTGTCTGAGGTCTGTATGATAAAAACAGCGCCTCATATTACTGTTTCACCTCAGATGTGATGCATAAAAAGTATGAAATGTTGGTTTACACGCTCCCAGAGTTGTGGCAAGATTTTGTTAAGTAAACTTGTCGAACGCAAAAAATTCGGCCTGATTTGTTTTTTCCATGAATTCGTTTTCCAGGCCTAATCTACTGTGATCAAGAGCTATTATGGCTCTTAAATGTGATCGACGATGATTGCTATTTTTTGGGTGTATATATACCGGCTATCAATTAGATGAAGGATTTTTTTTCACTCTAAAATCACTTAGCCTTAGCTTTCCCTAAAAAGTCACATATGTGCCCTTAAGTTAACTGATTTGTGGATTACAAGTTTATTGTTTGATTTAAATCATAAATTTATTAATGGGAGCTTCGCTTTTAGCCCTGGCTAAATCTATATATTACTTTTTGTCTTAGCCTGCGCCTACTGTAGTCTTAATCTTCGACGTCATAATCACATGAATTGTTGTAGCACGTGCTAACAAGATGGCGGCATTTTGACACTTTTACCGCGTGAGTTGTGTTTGTTGTGGAACTCCTTTTTTACTTGGCCTGAACTCGGCAAAAGGTAAAATTAAACTTGTTTTAGTTCAATACTTATCGATCTTCAATCGCAACTCTGTAGGCGAAACGACTTTGATCGTGTAGGCGGATCGATCTGAGTGTGAAGAAAGATCGGTTGTTGACACGCCTCAACTCGGCAAAAGGTAAAATTAAACTTGTTTTAGTTTAATACTTATCGATCTTCAATCGCAACTCTGTAGGCGAAACGACTTTGATCGTGTAGGCGAATCGACCTACGTGTAGGCGAAACGACTTGTAGGCGAAACGACTTGTAGGCGAAACGACCGACTCCATCGATCTACCGATCCAGCGTTCTATAGATCTATCGATCTACGGATCCAGCGATTTGCAGATCTAGTGATCTACAGATCCAGCGATCTACCGATCCAGCGATCTATAGATCCATCGATCTACCGGTCCAGCGATTTGCAGATCTAGCAATCTACAGATCCAGCGATCTACCGATCCAGCGATCTATAGATCCATCGATCTACCGATCCAGCGATCTACAGCTCCGGAGATCTACCGATCCAGCGATCTATAGATCCATCGATCTACCGATCCAGCGATCTAGAAATCCAGAGATTTACAGATCCAGCGATCTACAGATCCAGCGATCTACCGCTCCAGCGATCTATAGATTCATCAATCTACCGATCCAGCGATCTACAGGTCCAGAGATCTACCGATCCAGCGATCTATAGATCCATCGAAATACCGATCCAGCGATCTACAGATCCAGCGATCTATAGATTCATCAATCTACCGATCCAGCGATCAACAGATCCGGCAATGTACAGATTCAGAGATCTACCGATAAAGCGATCTACCGATCCAGCGATCTACAGATCCATTGATCAAGCTCTCCAGCGATCTACAGATCCAGCGATCTACAGATCCAGCAATCTACACATCCAGCGATTTACCGATCCAGCTATCTATACATCCAGCGATCTACCGATCCAGCAATCTATAGATCCATCGTTCTACAGACCCAGCGATCTATCGATCCAGCGATCTACAGGTGCAGTGATCTACAGATCCAGCGATCTACCCATCCAGCGATCTATAGATCCATCGATTTACCGATCCACCGATTTACCGATCCAGCGACCTATAGATCCATCGATCTACAGATCCAGCGATCTACCGATCCAGCGATCTATAGATCCATCGATCTACCGATCCAGCGACCTACAAATCCAGCGATTTACAGATCCAGCGGTCTACAGATCAAGCGATCTACCGATCCAGCGATCTACACGTCCAGAGATCTACCGATCCAGCGATCTACAGATCCAGCGATCTACCGATCCAGCGATCTATAGATCCATCGATCTACCGATCCAGCGATCTAGAAATCCAGCGATTTACAGATCCAGCGATCTACAGATCCAGCGATCTACCGATAAAGCGATCTATAGATCCATCGATCTACCGATCCAGCGATCTACGGGTCCAGAGATCTACCGATCCAGCGATCTATAGATCCATGGAACTACCGATCCAGCGGTCTACAGATCCAGCGATCTACCGATCCAGGAATCTACCGATCTAGCGATCTACAGATCTAGGGATCTACCGATAAAGCGATCTACCGATCCAGCGATCTACAGATCCAGCGATCTACCGATCCAGCGATCTATAGATCCATCGATCTACCGATCCAGCGATCTAGAGATCCAGCGATTTACAGATCGAGCGATCTACAGATCCAGCGATCTACCGATAAAGCGATCTATAGATCCATCGATCTACCGATCCAGCGATCTACAGGTCCAGAGATCTACCGATCCAGCGATCTATAGATCCATCGAACCACCGATATAGCTATCTACAGATCCAGCGATCTACCGATCCAGCGATCTACCGATCCAGGAATCTACCGATCTAGCGATCTACAGATCTAGGGATCTACCGATAAAGCGATCTACCGATCCAGCGATCTACAGATCCAGCGATCTCCCGATCCAGCGATCTACAGATCCAGCGATCTACCGATCCAGCTATCTATACATCCAGCGATCTACCGATCCAGCAATCTATAGATCCATCGTTCTACAGATCCAGCGATCTACCGATCCAGCGATCTAAAGGTGCAGCAATCTACAGATCCAGCGATCTACCGATCCAGCGATCTACAGATCCAGCGATCTACCGATCCAGCGATCTATAGATCCATCGATCTACCGATCCAGCGATCTACAGGTCCAGAGATCTACCGATCCAGCGATCTACAAATCGACCGATTTACAGATCCAGCGATCTACAGATCCAGCGATCTACCGATCCAGCGATCTATAGATCCATCGATCTACCGATCCAGCGATCTACAGGTCCAAAGATATACCGATCCAGCGATCTATAGATCCATCGAACCAGCGATATAGCTATCTACAGATCCAGCGATCTACCGATCCAGTAACCTACCGATCTAGCCAAATGCAGATCTAGGGATCTACCGATAAAGCGATCTACCGATCCATCGATCTACAGATCCAGCGATCTACAGATTTAGAGATCTACCGATAAAGCGAGCTACCGATCCAGCGATCTACAGATCCATTGATCTCCAGATCCAGCGATCTACAGATCCAGCAACCTACCGATCCAGCGATCCAGCGATTTAGCGATATACAGATCTATAGATCTACAGATCCAGCGATCTATAGGTCCAGCGATTTATGGATCTAGCGATCTACAGACCCATCGATCTGCAGATCGAGTGATCTACCGATCCATCTATGTACAGACCCACCGATCTACAGCTCCATCGATCTACCGATCCAGCGACCTATAGATCCATCGATCTCCTGTTCCAGCGATCTACATATTCAGCGATCTACCGGTCCAGCGATCTGTAGATCCATGGATCTACCGATACAGCGATCTACAGATCCAGCGATCTACCGATCCAACGATCTACCGATTCTGGAATCTACTGATCCAGCGATCTACAGCTCCAGCGATCCTTAGATCCATCGATATACCGATCTAGCGATCTACAGATCCAGCGATCTACCGATATAGCGATCTACAGATCTAGGGATCTACAGATTCAGAGATCTACCGATAAAGCGATCTACCGATCCAGCGATCTACAGATCCATTGATCTCCAGATCCAGCGATCTACAGATCCAGCAACCTACCGATCCAGCGATCCAGCGATTTAGCGATATACAGATCCATAGATGTACAGATCCAGCGATCTATAGGTCCAGCGATTTATCGATCCATCGATCTGCAGATCCAGTGATCTACCGATCCATCTATGTACAGACCCAGCGATCTACAGCTCCATTGATTTACAGATCCAGCGATCTACAGATCTAGCGATCTACCGATCTATCGATCTACAGATCCAGCGATCTACCGATCCAGCTACTTATACATTCATCGATCTACCGATTCAGCGATATAAAGATCCATCGATCTACAGATCCAGCGATCTACAGATCCAGCGATCTACCGATCCAGCGATCTACTGATTCAGCGATCTATAGATGCATTGATCTACCTATCCAGCGATCTTCAGATCCAGCGATCTACCGATCGAGCTATCTATACATCCAGCGATCTACCGATCTAGCAATCTATAGATCCATCGTTCTACAGATCCAGCGATCTACCGATCCAGCGATCTACAGATTCAGCGATTTACCGATCCAGCGATCTACAGATCCAGCGATCTATAGATCTATCGATCTTCCGATCCAGCGATCTACAGATCCAGGGATCTACCGATCCAGGAATCTACCGATCTAGCGATTTACAGATCTAGGGATCTACCGATAAAGCGATCTACCGATCCAGCGATCTACAGATCCAGCGATCTACAGATTCAGAGATCTACCGATAAAGCGATCTACCGATCCAGCGATCTACAGATCCATTGATCTCCAGATCCAGCGATCTACAGATCCAGCAACTTACCGATCTAGCGATCCAGCGATTTACGGATATACAGATCCATAGATCTACAGATCCAGCGATCTATAGGTCCAGCAATTTATCGATCCAGCGATCTACAGACCCATCGATCTGCAGATCCAGTGATCTACCGATCCATCTTTGTACAGACCCAGCGATCCACAGCTCCATCGATTTACAGATCCAGCGATCTACAGATCTAGCGATCTACCGATCCAACGATCTACAGATCCAACGATCTACAAATCCATCGATCTACCGATTTAGCGATCTACACATCCAGCCATCTACCGATCCAGCGATCTATAGATCCATCGATCTACAGATCCAGCGATCTACCGAGTCTTTTTAGAGACTCTCTTGTCGGTTTAGGAAGGGTCAGATCAGTAGCCGTGTTACGTAGATAGAGGCAATAAAGAATTTATGTATGTATGTACTGTTCTAATATTATTGCATGAATACAGATTTGGCCGCCGCATGTCCCATTCAGCAATGATGATAGCAGGTGGCGTTACTCTCTTACTGGTCCTGGCTGTTCCCAAAGGTAAATCATAGTTCTTAATTAAACTGTTTAGACTTCTCTAGACTTATGCACGCTGATCAAACAGAAACAAATAAAGCAAAAGGTAATATGCGAAGAGGAAAACAATAACCTGATTATGAACTTAAGTTAATTATTCATTATGCTAATAAACCCGTGAATTGCTACCGTAATGCCGACGGAGAAGAACATATGAACAATATGTCAAGAGGAAAGCTACAATCTAAACTAAAAACTAATTTTACATTTTATTAATCAGTGCATCAACGTCAACATAGGAGTCTTCAGATTCTAGAATTTTGAACAGTTTTTCTTTAATAGATTTTTTAAAAGAGTTTTCGGGTAAGCATTTAGGATTAGTTGGTATCTCATTCCAGATTTTAAAGGCCCGTGCAAACGGACGCAACATTGTCCGCCAACAACTCCCAACATTGTTGGATGTTACATGTTGCGTCCGTTTGCACATCCTGTTGCATGTTGTTGGATGTTGTTGCGTGTTGTTGCGCAAAGTTTGATACCGGTCAAACTCTTCAGCCAACAACTCCCAACATTTCTTTTGTTCCGTGATTGCCGAAACTTAGCGCAACAATGTTGGATCCGTTTGCACAGCTCTTCCAACATTGTTGGGGCCGCGCACGCTCATTGCGCATCGTTTACAAAGACTAATGGGTTGTATCCCTCCCACGATGCACTGCAGGTCCCAACATAGAGCGCCCAGAGCTTGTAACCAATCTCCCTAGAGTATCTGAATTGGGGAATACTCAACACCTTTTCAAATTTAGGCTTAGAGGACCGAGAGTGTGATATGGCCAACGCAAATCACGAGTATGCAAAGACAGTTAGGGAGACTTCTCTAGTTCAGTAATTTCGTAACGTTTTCTCTAGTAAATCTAATCGGTTTTGTTAACGAATGTCTCTACTAATCTATGAAGAAAGCATACAAGAAGAAGAACTGTAATGTTAAACTGAAATTCTCCTCGAAGGATGTTAATTTGACTATTTTTTCCTGCTAATAGATCAGAAGGGCGCTATTACTGCTTTAGCTTTCATCGGTCGTTTCATGGCCAGCGGCTCATTTGCAAATATCTACCTGTATTCCAGTGAGCTGTACCCTACAGAACTGAGGTAATTTATAGTGCGAATTGCCAATTTGTCGTTTTAATTTTTATTTGAAGGATATGTAATTTTATTTATAATCAAAAAATTTCATGAACAGTTCATTTTTATTAGGAATCAAGGTATTGGTGTATGTTCAACAAGTGCTCGTGTGGGATCCATTATCGCTCCCTACATAGTCATGTTGGTAAGGTCATTTTTTGTCTTAAAATAATCCTTTTTATAGAATGTAATGCAGGCGTATATTTCGGTCCAGCAAAAGCTGCTCGTCTACGTTCGTAATGCCGCTTGTGGACACCATCTATGATTTTATCTCAGAGGAAGATTGGGGAGAGTAGAAAACGCAACCCATAGGATAGGGGCGTTTTCCTCTCTTTCCCCTCTCCTTCCCACCGCTACCCCCCGCTGGTTTCCCTCCCACTTTAACTCGTCTTAGCTTCTCGACTTCTTAAAATTCAACAAAGCGATCACTCGAGTAAAAGTATTCGCGCACCTGACAGAGAAACGTCTTTTTTTTGCCAGTTGAGAAACAGATTCTGTGGTGAAAGCTAAAGCATTTAAATTTTTTAGCTTAATTGTGGCCTAAGATAAACTCAGTAATTTCCCTTTAAAATGCAGGCGCAGTTACCAGGACTGAGCGCGACTCTTCCCATGGTTATTTTCGGCTGCCTGACGGTAGCCGCTGGTTTGGTAGCGCTGTTTCTTCCCGAGACTCTTTTATGCCAAACATATCAGACAGTGGAGGACATCAATCAGGACAAAGAATTCTACGGTATAATTTGTATGGAAAAACCACGCCCCTGCCCATTGCACTGCTTCAGGTACGATTTACTTGTCTCCGGAATATCTCTATAGAAATCAAGGATGTTGAGCATGGATTGCAAAACAAACCATTTTTTAATTTAGCGCCATCAACCTTGAGGTTGACTTGAGGTTTGCTTAAGGCTAACAACAACAACATAAGCTTTATTTGCATGACTATATGAAGTTACAGTATTGCAAAAGCTTCCTAAAATAAAGTCAAAATTTATACTAATGATATTACAATGCAATGATTGCAATGGTCAATCAAGTGTCATCAGTATGATTTGATAACAAATTACAACTTAAATCATTACGTATCATGGGACAAATTTCAACAAATGTGAATTTACAGAAAAATTATGTGAATTCATCAATTTAATAATTAATTCTGTGCAAGACAGCAGATTAAAATCTCAAAATTTTGTTGGATTTGAGCAATGCAATAGAAAATGAAATTCGTCTTCAATTATACCAGAGTTACAAACAGGGCAAAATCTATCGTTGTGGGGAGTTTGAATATATCTTCCAGTTTCAATCATGAATTTGTGGTTACTTATACGAATTCTCACTAAGTCTTTCCTATTGGTTAAAATGATGAGCACACACCTATACACCTAGGACACCTAGAGATAGATACCTGGTGGACGTGTATCGCGTCGCAGTGAAACTCTCACGCAATTCCAGAAACAAAATTAAAGGATACAGGCCTGGAATAACTCACTGAAATTACGTCTTTTCTTCTAGGTCTAAGGAAGCAGACAAAGCGCAGTCACCATCTGCTGAAACACAGTTACTGTAAAAATTTAGTACCTTGAGGAAGGGCCAATCATTTTTCTCTTTTCTTGGGTTATAGACATGATTGTCAGGTATACATTCAGGGTAGAAATAGAGAGAAGAATGACGTCACGTTACCGTGGTAGCAAAATTTTGGATCACAACAATGGGAGCTTAATCAACGAGATTAGCAAGAAAGCAGTAGGTTAAGACTGGCAAATGAACAGCTCTGCACGTACCTCACGCTTTTTTGTACATTTCTTAGCCGTCATTGCACGATTGCGACATGAAATTTCCTAATTTCACGCGCCCGCTTTATGGACTAGGTGAACACAACACAAAAATTTACTTTTCTAAATCTAGATACTGTCCTTCTCGGATTCGAGCCCATAGAATTTCCCCACTGAACATTTGAAAAATTAACTGAACTTGAATAAGGTCGGTGAAGTTTGAAAACAGTGCGAATTTAAGTGATTTTTTCGGTTTTGTTGTCATCCAGAAATTTTGCTACGATGGCAAGTTGACGTAACGACTTCTCCTCTCAATTGAATGACTTTATAAGTTGGTGACAACACCAATCAAGCCCATTGACATTTCCAATAATTTGGCCTGTAGATTTAGGATTGTCAGATTTCTTAAATTAAGTCTAAGTTTTAATTGAGTTCGCAGGTTCAAGGACTTTAAGAAGTAACTTGTGAAATTAGTCAATACAAATGCTTGCTTATCTTAGGAACTTGAAAGCAGTGACGAAAACGAATCGAAAAGACAAGCGCCCTCTGTTCTCTTATCTAATCTGTGCTATCTTTTTTTTGCTCTGTTGGAACTGTAACGTGTATTGGTGGTGTTTGTCCTTTATCATTGACCTCTTCTCTGACCATTAACAGAATGTCCCCTTCTTCCTTTACGGGCCTACGTCTGCAACAATATATCTTATAGTCCTCGTCCCAGTCTTCCGCCTGCTCCACGGTCTGGGCCATGGGACTGTAAAGTGTCTCAGGTAGCCAGAGCGCCATAATGCCAGCGATAATCCCCAGTATCCCAAAAATGACCAGCGGTAGTGTTTTGCTGATGATTGGAAGGTCAGCCTGGATAAGAGAAAATTATAGCTACAGAAGGGCCATATTCAGTTCATGTTTCGAGACTTCTTTTAAGACTGCGCATGGTTTTAATTGCTACGCCTTCTGGTGGGTAAATCACCTAATAACATGTAATAGCAAAACAATTCCGACCTGCCTGTGTGGAGGCCAGGAAAATCGGAGTCGCATACAGACATCCAGGGCTGTAGACCGAGTCGATCAAACTCCTCCTCTCCGTAATTATCAGGCTACGGATTTATGATATTATGATACTGAAGAAAAATGCTTTCAGTGCTTAAAACATAGCAGCTGTTTAAAAGTAGGTAATCATATATTGTGGTTCTCTCTGCATGTGAAATTAAAGTGTCGAAAGTACAAACCAATAACACGATGAATGGCGTTATTATGCTGCCACAACGAGCCATCATAGAACACACACCAATGCCAGTATTCCTAGAAAGGAAAAAGAGGGTTTGCCTCCGTGTGAGAACCCGTAAACTTGTTTTTTGTTTTGCACCTTTTGTTTTCATAGGTTCTATTGTGTTGACGTCGTTGTCTTCCTTGTTTACGTCACCCATGGGTTTTACAGGTTCTTACACCGGAGGATATCCGGAAAAAGACAACTGTTCATTATACTTGTTGTTTTAAACTACCTTACTTTAACTTAACACCCTGACAAACTATCATTTTCAGAAACATTTGAGACTATTTCGTTTTCTTCGCTCGTCTACTCGAAAACGTTTGAAGGTGAACTTTTGTTAGATTTAGGCCCTTATTGTTTTTAAAAGATATACTGTTGTTCACGCTACCAGCGTACTCGAGAAAGATTCTATCGAGTAACCGATCTTTGTTGAGCATGCGCGGTATCTTGCTAGGGTAATACCTACCTTTCTTCCCTTTTCCTAGCTCAACCCACCTTTCTAGCTTTCTCTGCGCCCTATCCACCTCTTGGGAGCCTGTTCACAGGCTCATCGGATACAGCAATTTGTTGTATCTATATACTGGATGGTGATTTCTCCTCGTGGGAGCAACCGACGGGGTTTAAAATTTTATATAGTGTTGTAGGCTCGATTACCAGCCGCTGGTCGGGAAATGAGCCCGCGATCCTATCCCGAACGAGAAAGTGGCGGAAATCGAGCCTTAGAGTGTTGTCACTCCGAACGCAATATTCTCTAGTATAGGATGCTTTAAATATTCTTGGTGTTATACAGAGGCGTGCAAAATATCTTAAACAGTTATAAGATATCGCCATAACTATCCCTTTTACTTTACGTCGTTGAGATACGATAGGTTGTGGCCTGGACACTTCTCATGTTGTCCGGTGTTGCAGGAGAAGTGCCATGTAGCCTTGTGGCAAGAGACTTGGCATAGGGGGCCAAAACTATAAAAACAAGGGTATTTACTTTAATGGTGTTATTTTGACTTATTAAAGGAAAGGGAGAAAGAAAAACCTTCCCCACCCCATTTAGGAGCGACATCACTGCTATGTTCGCAAGGCAGGTTGCCGCGGCATCATGAACGATAAATTTAAGTTTTCTTACCTAATAATGGTAGGATACAGTTCCACAGTGAAGACATAAATCCCCAGGAATGTTGCTAAGATACAGGCCTTGCCAATAACAGCCAGTATGGTAACAATAAACCGTAATTCTTAAAAAGTAATAGAAAAAAGAGAACATTTCCTTATAAAACTTAGTTCTGCTGTCAAAGGATAGCAAGCCGTTGAATGGCAGAAAATCCATAGCTTCACACTTGTTTTAACGTCGGCTTGACGACAGCCACTGACTGTGCTTTCTAACTCCACAAAGGTAAATTTAAAGCCAACAATTTGAAAACGCACTCATTGTATACATGACTTTCTTTGTTTTGTTGACACTTTTGCTCTAAATAGCTAGTTTCTGTTTTATTCAGACATATTTTGATTGTTTTATGCATAAATATGCCATAATTAGCATTGTTCTTTATAAAACAACTCTACCCTGTTCCCCCCAAAATTTGGTGTCCTAGTACACCCTTTCCAAAATAGTCACCTCCCGTCAACGGCTACTTACCTCAGTCCCCGCTTAATGGCCTTTGTAGAGAGGTTTGATTGTATACTCGTACTATAAACGACATGATTACGGGCGACAAGAGGAGCCCGCAATCCTAATCTCCAGGTTGTTATTGCGCATGCGTCGCATGTATGTAGCCAGCATTCATTTGGACTTCCACTAAGAATTAATGGATGCACAAAACACAATTTGATCACGCGCGTTTGGAGCTTCTATCATTCGTAATCTGATCACGCAAAGCACAGCGATGGAGCAAAAGCGTTTTGATCTTCGACCGTTGTCGTCTGCTCTCCGCAATCTTTTACTAGATTAAGGTTTTCTCTGTGATAACGTAGCTATAGCACTCAGTGCAACTTTTTAATATACCTTCATCTTTGGGAACAGCCAGCACTAGCATTCCTGACAGTCCTCCAATGATCATAAAGGACGCGTACGGGATACGACGACCAAATCTGGAAAAAAATGAATGTCGTTAGTTACAATTAAGGTTCGTGGCTAAGACATCTGTTATCCAAAGTCCAGGAAATCATGCATGCTGTACCACAACCTGAGGGCAGGACAGCAGCCTCGTGAAGAGCGCACGAAAATAGCCGGAGAAAGATCCTCTGTGATTTCTATAGTCAGAGTGAGGGTAATTTTACGATATCCAATTTCGATATTCATTCCTTTCCGGTCATCATTAGAGGTATAAGACAAGGTTCTAAAAAGTCGATACAAAAAGATATACCATGGCAATTAGCACTCGTACAGAGTTCGTTCTCCTTACGTAATCAAGATGGCCGACTTTGGGTCTAAGCTGTCGAACGGTCGATCTCGAAAGTTGCACAAAAAAAGTGGACTTTGAGCGCACTCTCAACTTGCCAAAGCAGTATTAGCCTGCGCCACAGACGAAACTGAACTTATCGAAGGAACCGATATTTTGAAATCTTTCAGACAAGTAAGCATCAATTGTAACGATTACCAGAAATCTACCACCTACTAGTAAAAAGTTTGGTAAACTAAATTGACTTTGTTAATGATATATGAAATAAATCATATATGAACTGCGGAAATGAAATGAAATGAAAATGAAGATATGATCGTCGCAGTGAACGAAATTTATGCAATTGCGTAAAGAAGCCTGAAAAAATTCAGAAATTCAAACCTGAATTTTTTCAGGCTTCCTTACGCATTGCATAAATTGCGTTCACTGCGACGATCATTTCTTCATTTTCATAAATTGACTTTGTCTTGTCGTATTCCATTTATTCATAACTAAAACAAAATTCTCAAATCTGATGGGCTATCAGCTGTCCTGATTTCAGCACTAATAGGATGGTACCAGTCAAGTCTAAGTAATTGGACAGCACGCGCCATCGCGCGCACTTGAATGGGTTTTTTTATTTTCACTTCTAGACAAAAAAAAACTATTGGAATATTCTGTATTTTAATTTTAGAAAAGCTTAAAATATCACAGAATTTGTTTTAGTTATGATGAATTGGTAGCAGAACTTCGTGTCGTCCAATTCGGTCAGTAATTATACTGGTGATTTAAACAAATCGGAATCCAATCTCGTTCCCAGGGTTCTCTCCAATCCGTCCCTACAGAGCGAATAGGATAGGAGAGAGAACCTGGGAACGAGGATGATCGGACTCCCGTTACGCGTTCGTCCTATTTTGTTAGTCACTCGTATGATTACAGACCGAATTGGGTTCCACTCAGTCCTATTACCATTATGAATCATGGTATTACAAAAAAAATTGAATCAACTATCAAAACAACGGACCACAAATTCCTTTGGAAGCTCATCTTTTACGGTATACAAAGTAAAGCACTTTATACAAATCCAGTTAGATGTTTTCCGTGTGGAAGTGTAAGAGGGGTAATATACTTGATATAATTTCAGTAAAAGTACTCATGGAAGATATATTGGAATTAGTCGTTGCGGTCCAATTTCCCGTATCCAATTCATCCTTGGCTTGCTTTCCTTTTTTGAGTATGCTGGCAATGATTACGAGTTTAAAACAAAGGAAAATAAAATTTTAAACCACGATAAAATTAAACCAGAAAATATATCCTAATCACAGATAATACCTAGACATAAAAAACCAAATTAGCAATGCTCCTGGAACTTCAACGACGCTCAAGATGAAGAAATTTAGGTACATGTCTCCTGCTAAGTTTCCCACATTCAAGCTTATACCAAAGAACACCAAAGCGTTCACAAACCTGTAAGAAAACAGTACTGGTATTAGATATTAGAGATCCAGTTAAGATATACCATTCTTTTTATGAGTACGGGTAAATTGCACGTGCTCGTTGCCGTAACTACGGCCACCTTGCATCTTACCCTGGAGAAACGGCTTGGCTACCGGGTAGAACGGTAACGCCATCTTCATATCTGGGAAATAATTTTGGATAATATGAATCTGTACGGAGCAGAGCTCAAAGACATCAACGAGGAGAAAAAAGAGTGAGGTTTCAAAACGAGCAAGTTTCAGGGATATTCTACATTCTTTTTCATTCTGTCGTCACTATTCACCATTTTCACATAGACCATAATGCACCTTGTTTGCCTTCGAATTTTGCACAACCATTGTTTCCAATTCCTCCTGGGTATTGCAGTAGTCCCAAGAGAAATCGAAGACAATGGTTATGCGTTGTTTTTGTAGGGAGGGGGGTAAACAAGGTGCATTATAAGACCACAATATGAACTGAGGCACATACTACCAACTCCGCGGTATGGCTAGTACCTTACGCATGCGCACAGCCATATCGCCCCGGCAGTGGGAGCCATGGACAGCTGTTTCGTCCTTGTTAGGACTCATCAACATGGCATAGCCAGCACGGTCTCACTTACGATCACAGACCCTGCCTTTACTGCTGAGGGGAATGCATTATGGTCTATGTTAAAAAAAAAAAGGTTAATCGGACGATAAACAGAGACCGGAGCACTTCATCAAAGACGCAAAAAGCCATGATCACCGATCGCGAATGTAGAGCACCATTCCTAAAACACTACGTCTGCCTCATAAGAGTTTGAAGGGACCAGCCCAGTGCGAGAAAGTTATACTGAATTTACTTTGACTAAGCTGCAATTCGTTATCCAAGAAGCGTTTTTGTTCAAATTTAGAAAGAATAGCAGCGTTCGTAAGAATAACCATCGGTGTTCGAAACTCGTTGAAACACTCTGTCTCTCGTTTTTTTCCGAATCTTAAAAAGAAGAGAAAATTGCGCTCATTCTATTATGGTACAGAGGTATAGAAATGTTGTACCACTGATTAGATTGAATGCACGAAACAAGCCATTTCCAGTGTGAAGGAGTTCGAGAGGTGGCAAGTTTGTTATGTTCCTTGAATATACCAGACCACTAATTTTGCCATCGATTGTAACAAACCGCTTTCAATGACTTCTAAAGAGTCGGGAAAGCATTACTCGATCGACGTTGAAATAATAATGCAAGAAAGTATACAGTTATAATACATTTTGAATTTCATAGAAGGTTTGTTACAAAAACATTCGTTGTATTTGTCACCTGGGAAGCTTACAGAAAGGGATTTCAGGAAGATATGAAAGACTCCCAGGCTGTAAAGCCTGTAAACTCACCAATTAAATCCACAAATTAAAGACCTTTTTCTGAGCCTTCTGGTTCTGAACATGTCCAGAATACCGTAGTTTTTCCTAATCTGATTCCGATTTCTATCCTCTTCCTTCTTAAACTCTTGAATGGCCTGTTTGAGTTGTGCTGAGTCGATATTAACTCGATTTTTCCTGGCGTATTTCATCAGCAGCTCATGAGCTTCGTCCAGACGATTTTTCGCGATCAACCAGCGAGGGGACTCTGGAATAATCCTTGCAAAAATAAACAAAAAACGAAGATATGGCAAATGATATTATGGGTGGTATACGATCTTTATGGAAAATATGGCTTTGCTGTTTTAAGGGCCGAGGATGAGATGCAATAGAAGGGGTGGGAACCCCCAAGCGGAAATACGCCAAATAAAGGGACTTTAACCAGACGTTATATTGGCCACTGTAGTAGTTGGGGTTCTAAGCTCTTCACAGCACTCATCGCCTTCCTAAGAGATATTCACCTACCTATAACTGCAAGGCAGAACAACAAGTTGGGAAAACACGAAAAAAAGTAATAATATGATGAAACTCCGGGGTTCTGTGCTAATACCCACTCTTGCTCAACTTTTAATTGCCATTGTATTTTTGCCAACGCTATGTAAAAGAAAAAAACAAATACAACAACAACAACAATAATAACAATGATGATCATAATAATAATAATAATAATAATAATAATAATAATAACCTTATCTCTGGAATGCATTACCTTCGGCAATTCGCAACACGAAGACATGGGACACTTTTAAGACTGCTGTTAAAACTCATTTTTTTAATTTAGCTTTTACATAGATTTAATTGTTGGCTTTTATTGTAGGTTTTTTATAGTTTTTAATACTTTTTATTGTAGTTTTTAATAGTTTCTCACGCTTTAGTCACCTTTAACATAAATCTAATATAACAATATTGTAAAGCGAAACCGAATATATTCATATAGAGGTTTGCGCTATATAAATGTAAATTATTGGTTATTATTATTATTCAGTTGTGCTACTGAAGTCTGAGCCTGTGCCTTTAATAGTAAATACGTTTCTCTGATAGATAGGTTTTGTAAGCGTGCAGTCAAATATGGGTACACTGCTAAGTTCACTCCTGTAACTGATTTAATGTGAGAAAGAGATTTGGTGACCACTGACAATCACTGTTAAAATGATCTTCTTCCCTGATTCGTACGCGGAATCTACGACACAAGGGTCATGACTACGTTGTAAAGCTTGTTTGGACTGAATGGTTCAAGAAATGTGTTATCAATAGATATCTTTTTAATATTATTTAGAATTTCAATTTACATGTTATCTTTAGGTATACATATTATTATAAAGTGATTGTTGTTAACTCACACGTATGCTTGTGGGTGTTATTTTCAATAACGACCTTTTTAACATCTTAGTGATCATCAAAGACTCAAAGTCACGGTGTTGGCCGGTCACTGCATACTAGTCATGTGTGCAATCAACAAAATTATAAACAAGCATTTTTCAGTATCCTGATGTGGAAATGAAATTCCAACCGCAGTCAGCCAGGCTTACAACAAGCCAAAAAGTTGGCTACGCCCCTGAAAAAAGTGAGGTTGAAAATATCCTTACCACCAACATAGAAGCAATGGCAGTCCAGGTAGAGACACGGCCAGCATAAGATATTTCCAATCACGAATAAGATAAGCGAAGAGCGACAGTACAGCATACCCAGCACTTACGAAAATGTTGTTAACAAACCCTCCTGCAGTGCGATGACGAATCTCGATAATCTCCATGCAATAGACGAATCGAACGAGGATACAGCCAACTGTAGCAGCTCCAGCTATGAAACGAAAGAGTGAGAAAAGGGAAAGGCAGTCTGCGACAGCAGATACTATACCACCAATAACCTGTAAATATAACATAAAACGAAATCATAAATATTATCCTTCAGAAGTAAGCCTGTGAGTGGAATGATGCACCCAAAGTGCAGGCCGAAAGATACATTTTGTCTAGGTTTCAACCGTCATCACTGATTGATTTGCTGAAAACCAGTAACTGAGGTAGCAAAATGAAACGCTTGATGCGGTTGTTATATCATTTTTTTAGCGCCGTATTAGTATACACAATAGAGAAACAGTGATTCTGTTTTGCCATTCGCATCCCATGAGGCTTTGTGGTTTGCGAATGTCTATAAAACTGTTGCATTAAGTTAGTAATACTGCGTTGAAAATTCTTGAAAGAAGGTTGTTAACAATATGACAAAATGCTTTCTCTCTTTTACAAGCTGCAACTTTAACACAAAAGGAATAGTTAGTGAGTAAATGGAAGAAATAAGGAAATGTATAGTATTTAGCAATTTGTCCGACACATAATGACACAGTGATACTCGTTGAAATTTAGACTAATTTTTCAAAATGACAATCCTTTCCTTGCTTTCGTCCAAGGTGAGAAACAACCTGAATTCTTCAATCTAAACACTAGGACATTTTGTTGTCCGTTTTGCCGACAACAGCCGTGTATAGACCGATGATGTGCAATATACTCACCATGACAAAGATACTGAGAAAAATTCCGATCTTGCGGCCGAAATGATCAGACAGAATGCTGAATACAACTGAACCAACTAATAATCCTGCCATGTAAACGGACTGGGTCATAGCTTTCAGAATCTTCCTATCGCAAACTAGGTCCCACTGAAAACAAAAGATATAAGGAAGAAAAAGAAGGAAAATGTATGATTTCTAAGGGTAGTTCATATAACACTACATATTTCATTTGGCAAAATGTTGACGAAAACCAAACAGTACCATGCTTAAGCAGTTTAATTCCACGTCAATTTTCAGCCAACTTTGTCAGCTCAAATTCTACCTCTCGTAAAACAGTCATTAGAGAGTTTTAGATCCGAGTTTACAGCGAACCTCTAACCGCTGGAGGTCACGTGACAAGTCTTTCGCTTCACGTTTGAGGTTTACGACGTGCGTTTTCAACGTGGGGAGATAGGTTTTCACGTATGTCATTTACCTGAACACTTTTAGCGTATAATTCTTGTTTCATCCCACGTAATGATACAAAAATCTTGTGGAGCAAGTCTTTATCCATTAACAGAGGCACAAATTTGGGCGAAATGCTAAATTTTATAAATCCTATTGGATCTTGAAAACAAGTGCCATTCATGGCTGCTGATTCAAAATGGCGGCCTTAATTTAATCCACCGCCAATCTAAATCGAATTTTGTTTGACCGTCGAACCGCAGACGGGTAACCGCAAACCGCGGTTAGAGGTTTGCGGTAAACTCGGATCTAAAACTCTCTACTTTCTTTTCGTAAGCATTAAGGCGGACACCTCATTTGTCTGAGGTGGAGGTCACCTAATATTGCGCTGGGCAGGTTCTTTTATTGCATTTAATGGGAAGAAACAAGAACAAGATTCATGGTCAATTAAGATTTATGATATGGCCTAAACAAAATCTTTTGTTGCGGGACAAAGCGGGAAATGGCGACCGCGTAAGATTGCGCCCATCTTAACCGCTAGGATAGTCAATCAGAACTCAGAATTTGCTTTACTAGATGAAACTCGTTTGCAATCATTCTGTGGCAATTTAAGTTTAAGCATGTTTCACAACTCTTTGATGGTTCCAATTCAAAGGGGGAAGGTGTCGGTACTCCCCGGATCCTCCCCACAGCTTCACCATTGCACTGCTGTTGCAGTCATCATACCTTGTGCAATTTCGCGAATGAAATTGTTCTATTTGATTAATTGCGATGGATTCCAGTTTTATTTTTTGTAGAAATGTTTTTATATCCATGAGTTATTTTTGTAAGTCAAGTATGGAATTAACATTCAGTAGAACGCTTAAAAGGAACAAAAGAGTTAAAATCACTGAAGACTGCCTTGATAATTCCCTTCTAAGAGTCAACAAAAAAATGCAAATCCAGAATATGAAGGTACTAAAGCGAAAAATTCCTAAGGTCTCTTACTTTTACTTAAAGGAAATGGACACCCAATTGTTTCTTTCACCTTCCATTCTCTCAGTTCACTGAACCCTGGTCATTCGTAGTGAGTTTTTTGTCCAGTCGAGTTTCAGTATTTCAGTGCGAGCGTTACCTAAGAGCTGAATTAAGTACCTTATTACATGAAATTTTCGCGACATGTTTATTTCGCGATTTTGATGTGCGCTTATTTGTGACACTTAAATTTCGCGATTTTGCGAAAATTTTATATTTTGAATCAGTTTAATTTCACGTTTTTGAGTATTTCAATTTACATTTTATAAGCATCTCCTTCAATTAAATAAAATTACTTTATCAAAGGAACGTAAGGTCAAAATTAAGAAAAACGCAACAGCGAGACTTAATGTCAACAGTAACAACAAAGCAGTTCTCACAATGTCCACAAGCAGTTCATGCTTGTACGTGAATCATCGTCTTGAGTCAATTGACCACAACATCCATTTAAACTGAAAATTCCTTAGAAAAGTAAAAAATGTGATTGTGTAAACATTTAACTGGTTATAAACTCGTTCTTTCTTGAATATGAACGTAAAGTCAATCACTTAATTATCGTGTCATGTTATCAAGTTCGCGACACTTCTTGATCGTGTAAAATTAATTTCGCGATTTTTTTTGTGTCGCGAAATTTGCAAAATCAACGTGTCGCGAAAATTTCATGTTATAAGGTACACAAAGATGTCAAAGTGTTTCCGACAATCAACTTATGATTTTTGTTTACTATAAATCCGGGGAGAGGGTTAATCAACAAAGTTTCATACGGGGAGCTTTTTATATACAATTTTCAACAGAAAAAAGTACCCCTTCCGTACACTCTCCACTGGGAAATGATCCCCCTTTCACCTACCAACTAACGGTGCGTCGGTTAGAAATGTTTCAGTTAAAAGTCGTTTTAAACACCTAGCATGTGTACAGAAGTCCCTCTCCCTCAGAAAAAAATCGGGAGGAGTGGGAGGGGGGACGTCGGTACATTGGCTATAAACACCTAAATGATAATTTTCCCTACCTTCTCATATACTTCAACTCAAGAAATCCCTACCGTTTTATTTACGAGAACCCTGATAAAGGTACCCTTTTCGGGAGGAGCCTGCCTGTATAGGCCATCACAGGGAGTTTCCCCCGGTTTTACTGTACCGAGCTAAAGAATACGTGCGAACTTCTCACCTCAGTAACTGCACTAGTGAATCCACCGGTGAAATTGTAGTCAGCGCATTTTTCACAGCATGTTCCACCCTTAAGGACTGTGCAAGTGTTATTCTCCTGTGTTTGCGAAAAAGCAGCACAGGAATACTTTGGAGTTGCGCCGTAGAAAACTTGAACAAGCTGCTGCAAACCGATAGGCAGAGGTACTATACACATAAATGTGTACAGAAGGAAAGTATATCGACCGAAGCCACCGACCATAGCTAATATGTCATCAAATTCGTAAGATTTTTTTAGCTTCGAATTCTGCATCTCCAATTGATTTTCGTTCGCCATGTCCATGTCCTTTCTGTCCATCTTTGTTCTTTTAGCCTGAGGATATTATGCATGAAAACATATAATATGTCTGAGAGTACAATGGGTTATTTTCACGATGACGTTAGCACCTGACTGGAGCTACAGTAGCTTCAGGGTCACAAGACAACAATCAGCCCCGTCTCGGTACTTGTAGAGCTGTAAGCGTAACGTCAACAAGTGTGTGACATATTAATGCGGCGGCTCAAATTAAGAGAATTTAACATTTGGCGAAGAAATCTGATGGGGTGCCCGTTTCCCGCGCCCCCCTCCCCCCTCCAAACAGGCAAAATTTCCATTCTCGTTTGAAAGGCGAGAACCGGAGGGGCAAAACCAATATTACGTTTGGTTTTTACTAAAATCACAGACAACAGTGGTTGAGAAGGTTGTACAACTTAGCAGTAGTCCATTTTAATCCCAAAAAAAGAGAGTTTTCTCTTTTTCTGAAAATCCCCCCCCCCCCGCACCCACATTCAACATAATGTTGGGATATAACAGGACAGAAAGGTTAACCCTATTAAAACCGTTCGAGCTCGGGACCACCAAACATAGCGACTTTTCCACTGACGTCACAAGATCGAGCCCAGTTCTTTTCCGTAAATATTCAAGACGTTCTGAGCAAAGGAAATTTACGGATTCAAAAGTATCCGGATACGTGTGGACGAGGCCTAAGCCTCGCTTTGAAACAGAGGCTTGAGGTAACTCGCAAATGGCCTAATAACAGTCACTGCTTCATAGCCACCAGGATTACTGGTTATAAGAAGTGTTGTAAGAACATTTGTAGCGATATTCTATCTGCAGTCTTTAAACGTGCATTTGAAAAGAGAAAAGTTGTTACAAATCTTTTCATCTCAATACTGATTGACACTTTTGATGTACAGTTGTTAGAGCAATTCGAATTTCTTATTCTCGAATGATATCTTAGTACTAAGGAACAGAAAAACACATTAAGTCATTAGTCTTGCGTACAAGTCAATAAAAATTTTTTGATCATCTGTATCCTAAATTTAACGACAAACACACAGTTGGTTCAACTATCTCTGTCGATCACGCTTTATCCCTCTTTCATTAAAATCATCCTTCATTTTCCAGCTGTATTTTAGTCCTCCTCAGTATGGAGTGGTGCCCAAAATACTGGAAAAGTTTATAAGTATGCATTAAATGCATACTTATAAACTTTTCCAGTATTTTGGGCACCACTCCCAAAAAAGGAAGGCCAAACCTCTTAACAGCCCTGGCACTAATACACTTCAATTTCAGTTTTCTTTTGTCCCAAAGAATACTGCGAGCCTCATCAGTCTTAGCCAAGTCCATGGCTGTTTTACCATGCTGGTAGACAAAATGTTGATGAGCACCTCCGTCTAACAAGACCTCCAACAAGTTCGTAAAGAGAAAGATCTCATTAACTTTGTGCATAGCCTTGTGCATTGAAGTGACGGCTAGGTGAAAAGGAGTATTTCCATCACAATCTCCTGCATTAACATTGAATTCAGTCTTCTGAAAAGGGTCTTCACAGCATCTATTAATACCAAAAGTGTCCCGTAATTGCAAAGGTGCATGTTTTTTAAAGCTTCATGTAACAATGACCTTCCTTTTATAGTATAATGAGGATGTTGGCCACAAAGTCTTCTCAACAGCACTGGTACAGTTTGGGCCTTGTCTACCTCAAAATATTGAAATTTGCAAAGGAAAAAACAACCTATACTGAACAGTCCAGTAACAAGAGCTCTTCATCATGCCCTTTTCTTGTTGCGTCTAACACTTTGACCCTTTGTTCATACTTATTGACAATGTGCTCAAGCAATTCAACTGCACAAGCCTGTTTTTCTTCATCACTCCAGAAATTTTCGTACATTTTAATTAATTCTTTTATACTATAGATATCTTCAACAGGCGATTTATTGCAACTCTTGGCTGTTTTAATGCATGTCTGTGCAGTCCACTGCATGTGGAAAGTTTAATGTTTTCATAGTAAGGAGCAGCACATCTTACACCCCTCAGAATTTGAGGATTGTATTTTCCAAGGATTCTTTCAGTAATCACAGGACTTTCCAACATAAGGTGACTTTTGTTACTTTCTATCTTCAACTAGTTCTTGAAGAGTTTGACTCTCTCTTCTGTTTTCGTAAGCATCAACAGGTTCCATTGGTTCTTTTTTTAACACAGGATGCATAGGATCAGCAAACCGTTCTTCCATGCCACGCAGTATGCGTGCCATGGAAGCTGCTCTAATGCATCGTGAAAGTATCTCGGTAGGATCGATAGTTTTTTTAGTTTGAATTTAAGTGACATCATGTGAAAACCAACAACAGAACAATACAAATCGAAACTTTAAGACTTATTTTTTCAATTTAACTTACAATTAGGATCTTAAATACATACTTTACTTTTAATGCTATTAATGCATATATACATATACCACTTCAACCTTATTTACGCGCTTTTGTAATTAATGTATATTTCATTTACACAATTTTCTAAAGTTAATTATGTTGGTTAATTCTCTGAAGTTTAATTATGTATTTTCGCCCATTTAAAAATATTCATATAGATAATTGCGCGTTATAAATTTTTAACTTATTGTTATTATTATCACTAACCTTATTAATATAATCTAAATTTAAACACTTTTTATTAATCAAGGGTTTGTTAAGAATTCTATTAGCAGTAATAAGGGGCAAAGACACAGTTCATAATGTGGGACCCGGGGCGAGTACTTCCTATAATGGCCTATACGACCGGGAAGGCTCCGCCCCAAAGGGGTACCTTTTTCAGGCTTCAGGTATATGAATGGTAAGGGGTTTCACCTGTCTGTGAAAGGAGTACCATTTATGATTATTAATGATTATAATGATAATAATAACAACAATAATTTTTTAATAGGAGGTATACAAAAAGAGTACCTTTTCTGTCAAAAATGGTATATAAAAGGGTAAGGGATTGGAATTTGGGGCAGAGCCTCCTCGTCTAAAACTCTGATGAGTACCCTCCCGGGTGTGTTATTCTGCTGGCAGTACACGTTAACACAAGATCAAGTTTGCCGGCTTAGCTCTTAAGGTCGCTACACGCTAGGCGACAAGTTCAGGAAGATGTCGCGACGACACGTCGCAGTGACAAATGTCTTCGTGTGTACTGGAGAATTTTTGTGAAAATCTTTGTCTTTGCAACAGAATTTTGTGGGAGCAACATGTTGCAAAAAATCAAATCAGACAGAATTTGGGCGACTTGTTGCGGCGACAAAATTTTTTGCAGAGACAAAGATTTTCAGAAAACTTCTCCAATACATACGAAGGGATTTGCCGCTGCGATGTGTCGCCACAACATGTTGCTGCAACTAGTCGCCAAACCTGTACACACGGATTGATCTGTTTAGTTGCTGCAACTTGTCGCCTAGTGTGTACCGTCCTTTAGGCTTCTGTGAAAAGATTTACAAAGCTGGAGGTAACATTATCGCTACTTGAAAGATCACTCAACTGAATAACTGCTCTTGTGTAGAGCACGATCCTACTTAATATCCGTGCTCTTGAAGAACAAAACCCACTGCGGAATACAAAAAAACATTGGTTTTTCGTTTAAACAAAGCTGTTACATGTCTTTTTGGGAGATGTAATTCATACTGTAGCATGTTCACAGTCGTTTGCAATTGCTTCATTCTCTTTAACTGACATTTCAATGTTCTTTTGTTCCTTTGCGGGGATGTGTCGTCTGCAACAATAAATCTTGTAGTCCTCGTCCCACTCCTCCGCTTGCTCGACGGTCTGGGCCATGGGACTGTAAAGTGTCTCTGGGAGCCAGAGAGCCAAAATGCCTGCGAGAATCCCAAAAATTCCAAAAATCACCAGCGGTAGTGTTCTGCTCAAGAGTGGAAGGTCAGCCTTAAAAAGAAACAAAAGTAAAACTTCACTGTATTTCCTCATGAAATCCTCTGGGCCAGAGGCTTATTTGAAGTTTCGGACGAATGGAGGACGGGCGAACTATTAAAAACTTTATGTTGGCAGACAATGCGCACAAAAATAGCACGCAAATCAAGAATGAGAAATCTGTAACTTGTATCCATGCTGGCCAGTGCTGGTTTAGTTATTTTAGTTAACGTGTAAACAATCATAGATCCGAAAAGAAAGAAGCTTGTCTTGCTATATATAATAACGATTACTAAAGCGAAAGAAAAAAGAGGCGATTTCATATTTGCTAGTAAGTTAGTTTGTGAGTGCTTGAGAGGGCGCTTATTTGAGAATGAGGCAAGGCAATAGAGTTGCGCGGTTTTTGATGCAATAATGGTACAAACCAGTAACACGATGAATGGTGTTATTATGCTGCCAAAACGAGCCATCATAGAACACACGCCAATGCCAGTATTCCTACAAACAAAGAACAATGATGATATTGACTTAAGGGAATAACAGTCTGGAGGGTAGCGTGAGATTTCGAAGATTTACTCACTGGAAGATTAACGCTCTGAGATTCTTAACGGCTATTCTTACTGTGATTCCCGTAGTGATTCTTACTAAGAATCTTACATATTCTTACTACGATTCCCGAGGTGTTTCGTTCTAAGATTCTCACCAAGATTCCTGTAGTTATCCTTACTAAGAATCTTACTTATTGTTAAAGATTCCCGTAGTGATTCTTACTAAGATTCTTACCTATTCTTAATAAGATTGCCAGTATTGCGATAGTCATTCTTGCTAAAAGATTCTTTCTCATTCTTACCAAGATTTCCCTAGTGATTCTTATTGAGATTCTTACCTATTCTTACTAAGATTCCCGTAGTGATTCTTACTAAGATTGTTTTTTACTCTTACTAATATTCCCTAGTGTTTCTTACTAAGATTCGTGCGTATTCATACTAATATTCCCCTAGTGATTCTTAGCCTCGCAGATTCTTAAAAACTTGGTTCTTACTCGCCTCTCTTTTACTGTTTATCTTTCATTCCATGCAATGCAAAATGGAGGGGTAAATGTAGGACCGATCCATTTTAATTTAAATTTTATGATATCTTCAACAATTTTATGAAACGGCTTTATGTGGATTTGAACGTCTTTTATTAGTTCTATCTTTAATTATCACTCTTACATATTTAGAAGTCAGGGACACTAAGCATTATCATGCTTCTCTGTATTCCGAACTAAAGAGCGCCTATCCTTGAATACAGACAATGAGGTGCGTTGTGGCTTACTTACCTGATGATGGTAGGATAGAGTTCCACAGTGAAGACATAAATCCCCAGGAAAGTTGCCAAGATACAGGCCTTTCCAATAACAGCCAGTATGGTAACAATAAACCGCATTCCTTAGGTACAATAAACGAGACAAGTTAAATTAGCACTGCTATTCCAACGTTTTGCTCTGTGTGAAATTCTGGAAGCTGAATGGTTGATTTTCGTGTGTTATTGGCATTTAATGCATGATTTTCAAACGTTAATGAGATAGTAGAGTTTTTGTTTTTGTGATACAGAACACTGAACTTGGATATAAAAAGAGACAAAAATTTTTTGGTTGTGATTTACTGACAAAAAAATTCGGTTTCTCGCTGTCGCTGCAGATTGAATTCGAAATTCTTAATACATTAAGTCGGTTAGAACTGCTCGTCCAAAGTACGTGAACGTTTCTTTACCTTCATCGGATGGAACGGCTAGTACTAGCATTCCTGCCACTCCTCCAAAGATCATGAAGGCAGCGTATGGAATACGACGACCATATCTGCAAAGAAGCAAACTGGTGTCATTGAGCTGGTCATTCACGAACAATCAAAGAAATAGCTGCAAATCTTTAAATCTCGGAGAAATGGCATTAAATGTATTCTAAAAACACGAGAAAGCCTGCTTAGTGAAAAAAATAGGGGGAAGTTAAGTGGTACTAAACATATGAAACATGCGCAAACAGTAGAACACACAGACCCTGGAAAAATGTACGTGACTGGTGCAAAGGGATAAATGCATCAAACCGTTTTCTCAATTCTCTTTGTAAAACGGCTCTCTACGGTTACAAAACAGTCACATGTTTCTGTAAATGGACACTAGCAAGGGAATAGCAGTGGTGGATCTAGGGGGGCCCCCGGGCTCCCACCGTATTATAAGGCAAATCCAAGGCCCGCAAGGACATGAAAAAATATTTTCGAGGCCAGCCCCCCTTTTTATCTTAGGCACTGAATGAGCGGGGCCCCCACTTACTTCGAGATCTGAATTCGCCACTGGATCGTGGGTATCAATTGCTCCAAAAACCTATTGGTTTGGGCGGTTTTTAGTGAGACTGATAAACTATATTGAGCTAACGCAGTTACGGACAATAGGAGCAAAGCACATTTAAGCAAAGCACCAAAATCCCTTATTACTTTTAAAAGTTTCAAGTCATAAGTTTACTTTAATTGTCGATTTTCCTTCCTCAATAAGATGTTTAGTCACTGACATGAACACTTTCTATTGTTGCCGTGAGGGATTTTGTTGGCGAATTTTGATTGTTTTTGCTTTGTAGAATTTTGGGTTACATTATCACAAACACTACCTTGACATTAAAAACCAGAGTAACAATGCTCCGGGAATTTCAACGATGCACAAGATAAAGAAATTGAGGTACATGTCTCCTGCCAAGTTGCCCACGTTCAAGTTTATTCCAAAATACACCAAGGCGTTCACGAACCTGTAAGAAGGAGGTAACAGGGAATTACCTTAATGCTTCGATTTAGCACCCGGGGAGCTTCTTTACTGATGGTACTTCAAGGGGGGGCGCTTATTCAATAAATAATGGTGAGGAATTTTGAAAGTCACTAGTCTGTTCAACGTCGATAGCTTCAGTGTTGCTTTGAACAATAACAAAGCCTTCAGGTCAATATCTTCTTCGTCCGATTCGTAATTCCGTCAATCATAGGGATCATTGTTACGAGATTTGCTTATGCCTTGATGTACGACTTGATCTCAATGTAAATATACTCAAACAGTGCTATCACTGAAAAAGAATAGGGGCTCTTAATGTAGTAAGGGCTGTTACTTGTATAGGGGCGCTTATTGGAATGAGGGTGCTTACCTAATAGTGGAGCTTAATCGAACGATTGAATTATTACGGTAAGCTTATTGCGTTAGATTTGCTTTTAGAAGGGCGACTGGTTCATTGCACCTTGAGAGGATGTAATGAAACAAATAACTGCGTATACATAGAGGTACAGGCACGAGAACCAGAAACTCAGTGTAGAGAATAAAAGGAAAGAAAGGATCCAAAAATTTGTAATTATATTGGTCAAGTGTTAAAGTGCGCTCAGATTACAAGAAGAAAGCATTGATTGCAACAGAGAACGAGAAACGTTTCCACATTAATTTTGTCCATTTGAGAAGTCATTCGACTTACTGAGTTGGCCGCTGCCGAAAGCACGAAAGTAGTCACATGTGAAGATTGATCTATATGTACAGACTCACCAGTTAAATCCACAAATCAAAGTTCTTTTCCTAAGCTTCGGTGTTCTGAACATGTCTAGAATACCATAGGTTTTCTTAATCTGATTGCCATTCTTTTCTTCTTCCTTCTTAAACTCTTGTATGGCGTGTTTGAGTTGTGCTGAGTCGATATCAACTCGATTTTTCTTGGCGTACTTCATTAGCAGCTCATGAGCTTCGTCCAGACGATTCTTGGCGATCAACCAGCGAGGGGACTCTGGAATAATCCTTTGAAATAAACGAACAGAACAAAAGATATTTGGTTACCAAGTGCAATCTTAGAATGGTTTTTGAAAATGGCCAAGGTAAACATTATTCCCAAACCTTCCCGATAAAGGTAAATGGGGAACTTATTTTGTGCAGGCCATGGAACACATACGACTCCATCAGATACTGCTTTATTTTCGAGTACCGGTCGGAAAGGAAGCCAAGTTGTTGGGTTTTAGTTGCTTTGTTTCCGACATCCTTGTATAAAAATGCAGGAAATAGCTTTTTGTTTTAAATCATTTTTTTATATATATACAACAGCGCAAGGTTTTATTGATCTTCCCCGCCCGCTTACAACCATATAAGGTCAAAAGGATACAGGCCAGGTTAATTTGAGCCTTTAATCTCTGGCGTTTATTTATTTAACGAAGTTAAGTTTTTGAGAAAACTCTAATACACGTCGTCCTTCCCAGTATTCCCCACATGCAACCCTTGATACTTTCCTTACGCTTTTAATTCGCCACTTTAAAGGCGAGAAGGGCACTGGAGCCGAAATACGTCACGCAATTGTTTCCGGGATCGTTACTGAGGACGCGCCAGTCAGCTATTGGTCAATTTTTTCCTGTCCCTGGTAACAGTTCCAGAGGTCTTTGCGTTTGTAAACCCGGCCCAGTTTCTAAAGTGGTAAATTGTTTTTTAAAATGGCAAATAGGGAGTTTAAGCAGCGACGTTTTTGAGCGACGCTTGTCAACCGGAAGTGAGCCCTTTTATCTTTTCAAATGCCATGACGCTACTAGATCTGTATTGCTAAGTGTCTTTACTCTTACAGAGACGATTTGTCCAAAAATTGGTTCAAAATCGTTGCTCAAGAGTACAAAAAGTCAACTTCCGGTTGATGCGCGTCTCTCAAAACGAGGCTGCTTTAACTCTAGTAGTAACTTATCGAAGCCCAAGGACACCTTAGGACTAAAATGAGAGTACTTATTCAGTTATATACTTCTGGCCGGGGTTTCTGGTGAGCATGCATAGTAAGGGTGCAATGAGCAAAAAATCCTTACCACCAACAGAGAAGCAGTGGAAGTCCTGGTAGAGACACAGTCAGCATAAGATACCTCCAGTCACGAATAAGGTAAGCGAGGAACGACAGCATAGAAAAGCCTATGCTGACAAAAATGTTGTTTACAATCCCTGCGGCAGTACGATGGTCAATTTGTATGATCTCCATGCAGTAGACGAATCGAACGAGAAGGCAGCCGGCTGTAGCAGCTCCAGTAACGAAACGAAACAGTGAGAACAATGAAAGACAGTCGGCGACGCCGGAAACTGTGCCACCTACACCCTGTAGTATAGAAAATATACGTAATACAGTCAACGCCCTCTTAGCGCACACCTCTTTAAGATGGACACCTCCCTAAAACGGACACCTTGAGTTGGTCCCTGTCGTTCTTCAGTCATATTCTTTGACTCTCTCTAAGACGGACATCTCTTTAAAACAGACACCTAGAGTTGGTCCATGCACATTGCAGAAACGCGCCTATTGAAAAACGTCGCCTGTGAAAAGTGGGGTACCCTTAGGCTCTGCGAGCAAAATTGAAGTTTTAAAGGCTACCGCCGTTTTCGGTCTCTTATGAACTTTACAGCAAATAACAATTCTCACATTTTCAAGAGACAATGCAGAAACAATAGGAGTAGGCTGCCATACAATGATTTCTTTTCCTCCTTTTAGTTGACTCTCTATAAGACGGACATCTCTCTAAGACGGACACATATGTATAGTGCCGGTCTACTTCTTAGCAAGTGTTGACTGTACTATATGTCTGTGGGTAGCAATTATTCATGCAAACCTCGGAAAATAAGCAATCCGTTTTACGCGTGCGCCGTGATATCATTTGCCGACCTAAAACCATCTCACATCTAAGAACTGCAAACGCAATAACCGCTGAACTTTTCCGAGCACGACCATTGATAATTTTTTTCTTAATTTCACTTTGTTAAAACAAATGGATGACAGTTTATTAATGGATACTTTTTCGCGGCCAGGCGTGATATAATGACATATTAAGTGGCCGTCAAGTCGAGTCAAGGCCAATTGAAAACTTGGAGTTATATACATGTAGTGATCCAATTTATTCAATCCTTTTTTAGCTCACCTCGTGCTTGTTCAGGAGCAAATATCTGTTCTGAAGACGATTTGAGATCTAGAATTTTCGGAACATTTGTTGTAAAATTTCTTGCTTGCCTGCCTCTCCTAAGATTTTCGAACATCTAAAAAATGGCATAATTGCCCATTTTTAACGGATTTTTATCCTAAAAAGGTCATGAAATTTTCGAAAAAGTAAGTTTTGATCCCTATAATTTTCGGATCACTAGACTTTAAGCTAGGAAATCCGAACAGATGAAAAATTTTTAGGGGATACTGAATATGCCTATATCTACTGTTTAAGTACTAAAATTCGTTCAACAATGCTATGTATAAGTGGTTTTGGAACTATAATCTCGTTGGGTGCTCCTGCTTGGTACTTTTTTTTTTTTTCATTTCGTTGAATATGTTTCCCCTGCTAACTGGCCAAAGTTGGTGTACGTATGTTTAACAATTAATCCTCGAGCCCGAATAGACTCTGAGTCAATAGCCCAAGAGGCCGAAGGCCGAATGGGCTATTGACTCAGAGGCGACGAGGGTGAGAGGAATAATTGTTTTAGTAAAATCCAACTAGTTGGTCAAAAATATCGAGAATAAAAAGAATGTAGCTAGTTAAAGCTAGACTTTGGTCCTTTTTTGTCGCCAAAAAGCCCGCGCTTTTCGCTACTAGGGGGCTATAACATATAGCCTAGTAGTAGCTCAACTAATCAGAATGCATCATTGATAATAGACCACTAGTTGGATTTTGCTAATACAGAATATTGGTTGATGTGAATATGTTTGTAATTAGCCGACAAGTGAAGGAGCTTGTCAACACGAAATTACGCATGTATTTTTTGTGTCACTTTGTATTGTGGACAAACAATGTTTAGACTTCATCCAATATTAACTTTATTTCGTCGTAAGGATGGAAATTTTGATTCCCTCCACACAACTCTCATGGCCTTAAACTTTGTTCACCAAATTCTGACGTCAAACAAAATGAGCGTCAACTGTTTGCTGGCATTGGTTCCAGGTATTCACGGAACGCAATTCAAACAATCTCATTTCAAAAACGATTCGTGCAATACTCACCATGATTAAGATACTGAGGAAAACTGCGACCTTGCGACCAAAATGATCAGACAGTGTACTGAAGGCGACTGAACCAACCAATAGTCCTCCCATGTAAACGGACTGGGTCATAGCTTTTAGGTGCTTTCTATCGCATACTAGGTCCCACTGCGAACGAAAATCACAAAGTTGAACACGGCAAAAAAAGAAAGTTTGAGGCATAATCATCAAGGTCTTAAGCTTCGCTCTTCGATTCAACATTTTTGTGTCTTCCTTCTTTGATCCATTTCTTAGTCAACTTAGCCGGAGGAAAAAAGGCTGCCTACGATCCATCCTTTGTCGCATTTTACCTAGGCAGACTGTTCACAGTCCCCTATTTTTCCATTTAAGAACGTCGGGATCGAGTACCTAGCCCAGGGTGGGATTTTCTGAGGTTTTGTTGGAAGCCCTAGGGATTTTTTGGGGTTTTGATTTTTGCCCCTTTCGATCATCCCCCGTCACTTGAAATCCGCAGTACACCTCTTGGGGCATCCACCCTTAGGGGCAGGAATCTTGGTTTCAATGTGAAACGCTCGATCCCGACGACACTACGGAAAAATAGGAGACTGAATAGTCTACGCATAAGCGTTTGTCCTCGAAAGCTTTTGTTACCAAGGTAAAAATAAACTGCTAAATATTCTGTGCATGATATTGTCTGAACAGACAGAACAATATTGCACTCAAAAACAATAATCAGAGATACATGTACCTGTACATAGCTTCAAGCAACCATACAAAAAGTACAAATATTAGATATTGCAGTCCCTATCCCCAATTTTGGCTCGTGGTTGCGCTTAATGGTTTCGCGCTCCATCTCAAGAGCTAGTGAACAAAGCCCACGTAACTTGTTGCATATTGTAAGTACTGGATGACGATTTTGGAAGACAATCTGGGTATTTTTATTCAGCGACCATTATCAGATCTCAATATCTACTCTGACTAATAACAGGGCACTCACTTGATTAAAAATAATTTGCTTCTAAAAAAACGGAGAACGAGCCCTTAATTTTCTTGAGTTCTTTTTCTTTTCAGTAACCCTTGATAAATTAAACCATATTCAAAGCAACGTAGTGGCTTGAACTTGCATCCCCGGTTCTGAATATATTTTCGAAGTCAAGTGAAATCCAATATAAGTTACCTAATGCATATAAGCTGGGTATAAGCCTATATATCCGGAGCCTAATTTATACAATGATTTGTAACAACATTCGTGCTGCTCTCTTTAGGATCAGGATTCTTCGCTTACTGACAACTCATATCATCGCCTAGTGAACACTTTTCTTAGCTTCTCTGCTAGAGCTACAGTCGTTGACAAAATTGTACCCCTTCTATTACCCCTCCGTTCAAAATTAGGTTGTTTGTCGTTTCCTACTTGAGCAGCAGAAGAACAACATTGTTTAGAGGGGGTGGGTGAGGTAAAGCTTTATTTGTCCCTTTTGACGTAGATTGTGTCGGCAAAACGTCAGAAATGTCCTCGCGGTGAGGTAAAGCTTTATTTGTCCGTTTTAATTTGAAGTAGATTGTGTCGGCAAAACTTCAGAAATGTCCTTGCGGTTTAAGTGTCTTGACTAATTTTGTCGCCTTTTGTATTGTATACCCCACAAAGCTCAATATTGCACTGACAAAATATGATTATGATGTGTATTACGATGCATTACTTTGGTAAAAGTATAGGGAAGTATACAGGGAATAGAACCACTGTACTGCAAAAGAAATAGTCGTTATTCATTAAAGAGTAAGTAAACTCTATGTTCGGCTTTCGGTGTGTCGACGAGTTATGTACATGTATATATAACCAAACAAGGAAAACGAAAGTTTTGCGGTGTCATTTTGCTGTTTCCGTCGGGACATGCAGCGCGAAGTGTAAATAGAACTGCAAGAAAATTATGAAAGTATTAATAAAAGAATATTTTTCCAATTTCCGGTAATTTGATTTCAGCTCAGCCTCGATAATTCGACTCGTATACTTGGCGGCTTTTATGAGAAGGTTTATCTGAAGGTATAATTCACGATTTTAAAAGAAAATCAGAGGTGAAGTTTGATTAGTTTTCTTATACCATATGACCACTGTATGATAGATAGCTTCAGTTCATCCTTCTACAGCTTCCTTTAGAAGTACGGGAACTTCGGTGCGGTAAGTGGACTTTGTAATCGGCTGATGATTATCTCAGATCATATATGCTCTGAAACGTTTACTGTTAGCGCAAAAATTATACTGACGAGTTTAAAATGGGTACGAAAGGAAGAATTTTCTTCAAAAATCATGATTCAGATCTAGCAAATAAGATAGACGCTGAAGGGTAACTTTCATTTTTTTCGCAAGTTCCTTTGAGCGATAGTAGCCCTGATCGAGATTATCTCTTAAACAAAGTAACTATGTTTAGAGCGATGAACTAGAAGTATACAGGAGACCTTCAGGGAATTCCCTGCTAGCAGGCGGAGAAAAACCATTGTCTATCAGCTTGTTGGTTGAGTAATTCATGCTATTGTCAGTGGGTACGGGTCATTAATATGACAGATGAAGTGATGTCAGGACAGCCTTTGTTTATCGGTTGTCTTTTCAGCTTAAACTGATTACAAGAAATACTCCAGCTTATCTAAGTAACTCAGTAGTTTGTATAAGATTCGCCAATAATTTTTAGGTGACGATGTAAAATGTTCAGAGAAGCAATTACTTTAATATTCACGTTTCTTATTCAGCCTATTGTTCGGAACAGGTGAATCTAAGGGATCTTAAGTCAATTAAGAAGTATCCCTTACCTCAGTGACTGCACTAGTCAGACGATTACTGAAGTTGTAGTCGGTGCATTTTTCACAGCAGGTCCCACCTTTTAGAACGGTACAAGTGTTGTTTCCCTGTGCGGTCGAAAAAGCAACGCAGGAATACTTTGGAGTGGCACCGTAAAACACTTGGACCAGTTGCTGTAGTCCGATGGGAAGAGACATTACACACATGAATGCATAAAGAAGAAAGGTATATCGACCGAAGCCGCCAACCATGGCTAAAAGGTCGTCGAATTCGTAAGATTTTTTCGGCTTAGAACTCTGCATTTCGCCCTCTTTTTCGCCCGACATGATGACTTCCTTGGTTTTTTACCTGAAGACAACGAAAGACGACGCGATCTAGCGCTGATGGCTTGGACGTCCTTTTTTTAATGCAAATATTGCCTTGACCTCGAAAGCGATATGCAGATAATCAGCAAAGTTATTTATATACCATATAGACTGTCAACAGCCGCTCCCTCCCCTAGATCAGGAAGAGGGATATCTCTGTGTCGGCGCTGTCAATCACTCTCCATCTTCCCGTTACGAAGCACCGCCCGGACAGTCGAAAGATAATTTTACAGATTTGAGGATCGGGTAGATATTCCATAACTGGCTTGAATTCTATTAATAAAAACAATTAAACGATATAACATTAAGTATAATAAATCTAATTACAGACCGCCTTATTTACATGGCTTTTCGCCAGTCTGGCTAGTTTGAACATCAGCTTGAACTGATCCCCGGAGGTGTATTCCCCATAATAGGGAGCTTTAGCATCGACAACGGCGACTGACGAAAGCGTCACTTTTAAAACGAATTCGCGTTTTTCAAACTTTGTCGCGTTTATTCCAATTCACTGAAAATGTGAAATGTAGGCGAATTTCCTTGGAGTTGACTTCTTGGGACCGGACTCAGGTTTAAAAAGAGTAGCTTGTTTACAGTTCTTCATAAAACGAAAATTAGGCATTTTCAAGGCATTTTCACGTCGTAGTCGAGCAGTGACGGAAAAGAAATGTATAAAAAAGTGTGATGCAACATCTTTGATTTTATCTCTGAGGAAGATTGGGGAGAGTAGGAAACGCAATTTAACCCATAGGATACGGGCGTTGTCCTCTCTTTCCCCTCTCCCTCCCCCCCCCGCAACCCCCCGCTGGTTTCCATCTTAAAAATTCAACAAAGCGATCACTCGAGTAAAAACATTCGCGCACCCGACTGAGAAACGTCTTTTTTTGCCAATTGACAAACAGATTCTGCAGTGAAAGCTTGGTAGCCTGGTTTCTTCCCGAGACTCTCTTATGCCAAACATATCAGGCAGTGGAGGACATCAATCAGGACAAAGAATTCTACGGTATCATTTGCATGGAAAAACCACGCCCCTGCCCATTGCACTGCTTCAGGTATGGTTTACTTGTCTTCGGAATATCTCTATAGAAACCAAGGATGTTGAGCATGGACTGCAAGGTAAGCTATTTTTTAATTTAGCGCCATTAACCTTGAGGTTAGCTTGAGGTTTGCTTAAGGCTAACAACAACAACATAAGCTTTATTTGCATGACTATATGTAGTTACAGTATTGCAAAAGCTTTAAGATAAACTTAAAACTTATACTAACTGATTTTACTAGTAATGGTTGACACTACAGTTGCCCCTGCTCTGTATATTGTCGGACAATAGTATTCTTGCTCGTTGTGTAGCTCTTCAAAATATACCGATTCATAATGAAGATTTTCACACATATTCCATACAATAGGTGAGATAAATACAGGAAACGCAAGGTTCAAATTTCAAAAAAATTTGAATTTACAGAAAAATTCTGTGAATTCATCAATTTAATAATTAATTCTGTGCAAGACATCTGATTAAAATCGCAAAATTTTGTTGGATTTGAACAATGCAATAGAAAATGAAATTCGTCTTCAATTATACCAGAGTTACAGACAGGGCAGAATCTATCGATGTGGGGAGTTTGATTATATCTTCCTGAGTTTCAATCATGAGATAGGAATTTACACAAGTCTTTCCTGTTGGTTAAAATGATGAGCACACGCTATACACTTACGATACCTAGAGATAGATATCTGGTGGACGTGTATCGCATCGCGGTGAAACTCTCACGCAATTCCAGAAACAAAATTAAATGATACAGGCCCTGGAATAATTCACTGAAATTACGTTCTTTTCTTTTAGCTCTAAGGCAGCAGACAAAGCGCAGTCGCCATCTGCTGAAACGCAGCTACTGTGAAAATTTAATACCTTGAGGAAGGGCCAATCATTTTTCTCTTTTCTTGGGTTATAGACATGATTGTCAGGTATACATTTAGTAGAGTCAGTTGTAGCAAAGTTTGACTATAGATTAGATGGCAGGTAAGTCAGGGTAGAAATAGAGAGAAGTTTCACGTCACGTTACCATGGTTGCAAATTATGGGAGCTTAATCAACGAAATTAGCAAAAAGCAATAGCTTTAGACTGGCAAATAAACAGCTCTGCACATACCTTACGCTTTTTTGTACATGTCTTAGCCGTCATTGCACGATTGCCAAATGAAACTTCCTAATTTCACGCGCCCGCTTTATGGACTAGGTGAACACAACACAAAAATTTACTGTTTCTTTTTCTAAATCTAGATACTGTCCTTTCGCAACCCCAGAGAATTTCCTATGGAGGGGAATACTGGACAAAAATGTTATTAGATCCTACCATAAAGTGCATTATATCGAATTTGTCTGTATACTATCTTATGGTACCCGGTATGCTGTTATGTCGTACTCGGTGATGTCGTATTGTAACCGGAGCACTGTTATATTGTACTCGGTAACCTAATTTCGTATCCAGAATAGTATTGTATCGTACTCCAATGCTGATGTATCACCCGATAGCCATAGACCGTAACTTGTATACCATTGTTTCGTACTGGGAAACCTCATATCGTAACCTGAATGATGTTGTATCGTACCCGGTAAACTTATATCGTAATCTGAATGATGTTGTATCGTACCCTGTAACCATAGATGGTATCCAGGAAATTGTTATGTCGTACACCGCGACTGTATATTACAGCCGGGATGCTGAACATTTTATGGACATTTTTACAGCGATATATAAATTCTTCTGCGGACCTATTAGGTCATTTTATATGAAAGACCAGATCTTCCTACCCTTTCATATACAGTGTACTTCAACTTGTTGAATCCGCACCATTCATATTCCTGAAGCTAGAAAAAGGTACCCTTTTAGGGCGGCGCCTCCCCGTATAGGCCATTATGGGGAGAACCCCGCCCCCTCCCCCTCCCCAAACCGTGGACCCAGAGTCTTCAAGCCTCCTTGGAGTTTTTACCAATTTTGTAACTAACTCATCTAAAATTGAAGGAAAGTGGATCGTCTCATCCAAAGGCAAAATCCCCAAGACCTTTTGTCATAAAATGGCCTTACGAACCGATCAAAACCCTTGGGTAATATTACTCTTATTACATCAAACTTTTGCCCCAAAAGAATGTATTAAGAGATTGGACAGTGTCAAAAAAAATTATAAACATCTGCTTTTTAAGGCTTCTTTCTATCTGTGGGAAAGAAACAATAACAAATTTTTCATTATACCAAAATTAAACACCTTTTGAAAAAGTGAGATTTGAAATACCTTGAAAATTAACGACTGTTACGTCGCAAAATGTAATAATCGCCGCAAAATGTAATATTAACGCAAAACGTAATAAGAATCGCCGCAAAATGTAATACTAACGCAAAATGTAATAACATTGACGCGAAATGTAATAAAATTTTCAACGCAACATGTAATAATCTTTCAACGCAAATTGTAATAACTTTTCTAACGCATAATGTAATAACTCAAAATGTAATAATTTCAGAATAACGACGTGCATGCTTTTTGAAAATCGGTATTGTGGCTCAGTAATTAGTAGCTGATCCAGATCTTCATTTTCATTATTATTATTATTATTATTATTATTATTATTATTATTATCAATATTGATGTTAATAATAGTAATAATATTTATTTTCTTCTTCTTATTCTATTCTTCTTATTATTATTATTATTAATAAAATAACGGTTGAAACGTCGTGTTTCTTCCGTGCTGAGCTAGTCTCCCTTGCAGCCGTGTTTTGTCTCATCACGCAACACTCTTCCACAACAAAGGAGGAGGAGCGTTGCGTGACGAGACAAAAATGGTTGCAAGAGCTTGCTGTACTGTACCACAACTGTAGCAACTGAGAGACTTGGTTTAATTTCAGATGTTGAATTTAATTCAGTCAAATAAAATAGCTGTTGTCGAAAACAAATAATAGAATCAACTTTCAAAGCATGATTCAAATCAGTGCATTTAAACTGTATAAGATATCTGTCAAACTTTTTTCATGAGAACCAGACAACTTTGGCTGTAGCTTACTTTTCCTAAGTTCTCACTTAATAGAGGCTGAATTGTTGTTAATGCTGTTTTTTAGGTCGAAGTTTCTTTTATGTTGAAGTTTCCAAGCTTTGCAAAGTCAAATCAGTTTGCCTTGTAAGGCAGTTGTCGTTTGCCTAGGACAGATAGCGCAAAAATTTTTTAGTTAGCCCAGTAACGCATTTTTGATTGGAGTAGAGCTAAGCTGATGTACAAAAATATTGAATTTGCCTGGCAAGGCAGTTGTGATTAGAAGACAGGCCATCCTCTTTTTCTTTCTCCGTTTCGCGTCGTCCGAACGACCCCTATGTAAACCATTTTTCACTTGAAATAATTCTTTTAATCTGAAAAATGAGCATAGTAACAGCATAGAGAAAAACAGCAACAAAGACATGAACATTTTTTACTGTAAATTGTGCATTTGTTAATCCAAATATGTGAATGTTAACTTTTAACGTCGTCCTGGGGTACCAGGGCCTCCTATTCCGAGACTTCTTGTGATTTTTTTTGTAGTTTTTTTTTTTCAATCCGACCGACCGACTCAATATCAGGAAACGCATTCGACGCTAAACGAAACGGACGGTACCAAATCTTGAACTGGGAGATCCATAAAAAGTGCGCAATTTCGTCTTTTTAGGGCCGACCATTTTTGACCACTTGAGGGGGAGGGTGTATGGGTTAGTTTTGGATAATTATGGGAAACTGTCAACCGATTTTTAAATAGCATGCACGTCGTTATTCTGAAATTATTACATTTTGCGTTATTACATTATGCGTCAGAAGAGTTATTACAATTTGCGTTGAAAGATTATTACATTCTGCGTTGAAAATGTTATTACATTTTGCGTCAATGTTATTACATTTTGCGTTAATATTACATTTTGCGGCGATTATTACATTTTGCGGCGTAACAACGACGAGTAATATAAATGTGCATTTTTGACGCATAACGGTAAAAACAACAATTTTTGGCGGTTGACGAGGGTATTCTATGGCTAACGGTTAAAACT